TTAGTTTAGTGAAATGTTTAGTGAAATTAGAGATTAGTGCAGCTAACTGAGTATGTTCTCAGGACAAAGGGCTGGGCGATACGGATAATAAATTGTTATTATAATATCAGTTGATATTAATAATTAACACAATAAGGGTCAAATCTTTTTTGTTTGTTTTGCAAAAGTTGTAGAAACAAGTCAGTTAATCAATCATGGCAACATTTTCACTGTTTTGAATGTTTTTCTCTTAGAAATAACAGTAGCTTGAATGGCGGTTGAGATGAGGATCCATTTTTAAAGAGTCAAATTGAAATATAATGACTGTTTTTAGTTAATATTAAAATTAAGCACTGCACCGTAAAAACTATTCATAAATTACATATTTTACATATTTTGTGATTCATGTTTTATTTTTTTTTTAAATAAATTTTATTGTTTTCATTTTTTTAAGGAAGTTTATTTCTGCTTTTAAATTGCATTATGGTACTTTGATCTTTTTTCCAACAACTTTTAACCTTAGAAAAGTTTGAAAAGTGACTTTTATTAACATTTGTAATAGTTTAAAGTTATATATTGTCTGGGTTGGTGTTGGATATTACAGTTCAAAACTTTGCAATAAACTTATTTCTGATATATTATATGATTTAAATCAACTAAAAAGTCAATAAAAGACTTTGTTAAACTTTAAGTTGGATTTTCAACATCAAAAGTCAACAGAGCAGAGATCAACATGCCATAATGCAATTTATAACCATAAATAAATCGAAAACACTTTTTATTTTTTACAGTGTTTGGATCATGTCAACCACAGATTCATTTTTGCATTAGCAGTAATAATTAGCAACATTCAATTGTTACTAACATTCATTCAAGTGTTCTAGTCATTATTGAGGCTTTCAAAGCATAAAAAAACATTATATACAGTATAAGTATAAGAAGTAAGAATTATTAGCCCCCTTTTGATTTCTTTTTCTTTTTTTAAATGTTTCCCAAATTATGTGTAACAGAGCAAGAAAATGTTCACAGTAGGTCTGATAATATTTTCTCTTCTTGAGAAAGTCTTATTTGTTCTATTTCGGCTAGAATAAAAGCAGTTAACCATCGTTATACAATGTAATAAATAAATCCATAAAATTTACTGTAAAAAAAAACATCAGCTGTGGTTGCCAGTATTTTACCATTAAAAAATAAATAATTAATGATAATAATAATAATAATAATATTAATTAAAATACATAATTGACTTCTGCTGTCTTCATTAATTTCAAAACCACAGATTTCTTTACAACACATAAATAAAAAAAACTGTAGAGCAGATAATTTTAGGGGTTTTAAAACCTTGACTTTTTTAAACCGCGGTATACCTTGAAGCTGGTTATTATCCTATGACTAATTGTAACCTATTTGAAACTTTAACAAAACATTTTCTGAACATCCTTTTTTTATTTAGCTGCATGGCTAGACATTTTCCTTGAGAGCATGCAAACGCTCAAAACGTTTTACCCTTAAAAATGCAAACTTCTGGTTTGACTAATGCTTCGAAGCCGTTTCTGACATTACTGGCCTTTCCTGTCTCATAGTTAGCCATTACGACATGCTGAAGTCTCAAATCAAGATCTTATCACTTCAAGTTCCCAGCACACGTATCTATAGTATGGGAATTGTGTGTATCTGTTAAAGGCAAGACTGTGTTTGTTTAAGTGTGTGTTTTGCACTGAGAGAAAATAGATAAATCCCAGTATCTCAGTGCTCGGTGAGTGTGTGTTTGCTCTTGAGAATTTCTTGAGCATTTCATTGCATTTACTAAAGGAGAAGTTTGATAAGGTTTCCAAATACAGGCTGGAAATGCACAAATTCTTTCTGGAAAGCATTTCAACACAATGTCTGACCCACAACCTCACCTGCGTGGCTGGAATGAGCACCTGTTTGCATTTCACAAGAGACTTTTAGACTGATTTGTTGGACTCTGTAATGCTGTTAAGGGTTTATATGTGTGTTATCAGCAAGCGCCTGTGCTTTTCGGTTCATTTATGTAAAACGAAGCAGCACTATATCGCGTTTCAGCATCAACATCGTATTGTGAGCATATGCAATAGTCACATCGCAGGATTTAAACTGTAGCTGACCAGGCACAAAAGACTTACTACAGAGTTTAATTGTAAAGTCTAGAAGGGATACAGCTGCAGATACTCACCTCAATATAGCATAGTTTTTGTGATGCTGTACAACAATAATTTATATTCTTACATTACTGTGAGGGTTGGGGTGGTGATGTGCGTTAATAATCTACAATTTAATGGGTATTTTAATAAATAATATGAATAATAATCTGTATAATTACTGTTTTTACATCACTGTGAGGGTTGGGGTGGTGATATGCATTATTAAAATAGAATTTAATGGGTAGTTTAATAAATAATATGAATAACAATCTGTATAATTGCTATGTTTACATTACCGAGAGGGTTAGGGTAGTGATATGTATTAATAATATACAATTTAATGGGTAATTTAATAAATAATATGAATAATAATCTGTATATTTACTGTTTTTACATTACTGTGAGGGTTAGGGTGGTGATATGTGTTAATAATGCACAATTTAATGGGTAATATAATAAATAATATGAATGATACTCTGCATAATTACTTTTTTACATTATTATGAGGCTTGGGGTGGTGATATGCATTAATAAAATATAATTTAATGGGTAATAAAATAAATAATATGAATAATTCTCTGTATATATACTGTTTTGTACATTATTGTGATCGTTAATAAAATACAATTAATGGGTCATTTTTTAATAAATTATATCAACAATTCTTGTTAATTTTCAGTCGTAGCTGTATACCTTCTCGCAACAATTGAGTTTAACCCTAATTGAGTGAAAGTTTATCATTTGCATGTGTTTTTAAGGCCTGTATGAGCATTTTAAGAGAGCTTAAAGCATTCTGGCACAAAGCGTTGTGTGTGTTTAAGTAACTTTACTTAAGATTAGTTTTATTGAACTTTTTACACAGTGAATGCACTATGCTGTGCTGTTTTACACTTGACTATTTACTTTCTGTACCTAAGAATCACTAGAAAACTGTAAAGCACTGTTTATTTCATTTGTATCTTTGCTCTACTGAATTTATCTATTCTTGTAATATGTTTATTATATTTTATGCTCGATTCACTCACTTACAAACCCCTCTAATCAATCAGAAATAATTAATTGTTTCCAAATAGTGTTATTTCAAAATATACTGTAAATTGCAATTTTCCAAGACTGTGCAGCTCCAAAATGAAGAGATACAATAACTGCAAAATGGGCTCATTCTGAAAATGTAGCCCTATGTACATTTCTGGAGACTGTGAATTATGTATCCAGAAATATGTATGGCTGCATTTCGTCTTTAAAAGGAATGCTGCGGATTCCTTTTTACGATTACCAACTGACAGGTTACCTCCGTTTGGATGGCTTTTCTGCAGTTACCAGTTTGCCCGATGGCTCGTTGCGTACGTCGTCGGACTTGATGTAGAGAGAAGTTGACTACAATGACGGGGTTGGAATCCGATGAAAAATGATTGCAGAAAGCGGGTAAAACAAAATCAAAAGACAAAAAATAAAATAAACAAGTATATAACAGGGTGAGAATGTGAACTCTAAATACCTGGTAAAAATCAGGCTGCCTCAAGGGCTTTTATTTTTCTGGACTGCTTTTGAAAACTTTCAGTTGGGTTTAGGGTAGTGAGTGGGAAATGGTCAATCGGTACTTTTGAAAACACTATTGGTTGGGTTTGGGGAAGGAGGAGGGGGGGGTCAGTCGATCATTCAGTCATTCAAGTCGGTCAGTCAAGTCAGTTAGTCTCAACTTTTCTCAGATCTCAAAATCGCGAAAACAAAAACTGCTAAAAAAGTACCTTCTGGGACGTATTTGGTGCTCTCCAGAAAGGTATATAGGGGTACGTTTTCAGAATGAGTCTGTGTAAGATGTAGAAACTGGATTTCTATAAATGTGGAATTTTCTGCAAATTAATTTTTATTTAACTCAAATAAACTTTTCTTGTTATCTCAATTTACATCAATCAAACGGACTAAAAATATTAAGATAAGCTTTGTATAACTTAAACCGTGTAGCTTAAAAAGGTTGGTTGTCATGACTTTCTGTCATATACATTTTTTTACTGTGTCATACTGTATCTTCAGCTGCAATTACGTGGTTCTATTCTTACATGCAGTATTACTGAACCTGATCTTAAAGGGTCATGAATGGCCAATTTTCCAAGAAGAACACTTTGTCTTTGAGTTTTAATGTGTAAAGGTTCCTGGGGCCATTTCTGAGTACCTCTTTGAGTATTAGCCATATTATGTTTTCCTAGAGTCGCACCTCAGTAATGGTTTGTTTTGACCGTGGCGCATTTGAACCAAGGACAAAATTTGAAATGCAAAGTAGTTTTACCTCAGACTCCCTCAGAGCTTTTTAATAAGGTGTAATGTGCACCCGCTCAGGCATTGTTGTAAATAATAAGCTCTGACAAGTAATTTTTTGATGATATACAATTGCTGGTTATTGTTTGACTAATTACAATGTTTGTTACCACTTTAATACCAAAAAGCCTTAAATATTTAAGATTACCTAATATCACTGTGCGCTGTGTAATTCATTTTAGCAGTCATTAGAGAACCATGCAAAGATCTACAAAGACAGTACAATTTTTCTTTGAGGAAATTAATATAACAAATTTAGCAGCATAGCAATTTTTACTGTTAATAATAATAAGAAATGTTGAAATGCTGTCTAAAGGACCATGTGACAGTGAATGATGCAAAAAATTCAGAGGAATAAGTCATAGGAATATTATTGATAGATAATTTGTAAAAATATGCCATGATACTTCTATGTAGCTGGCTTTTTAAGCTAATAAATGCAGCTTGAGAGCATAAGAGACTCTTTTCAAAGACATGAAATGTATAAATGCATGTGTATTTGTGTTAATAAATTCACTCTTTCTCTGTCTCTCTCTGCAGTTGGAGTGTGTACAGGCACTCAGAATTTGCTGAGTGTGACGGGAAGCTCTGAGGTCCAATACAAACTCATGAAGGAAATGTACACAGGTTGCCAGATTGTCATAGGAAACCTGGAGATCACACAGATGGAGCACAACCGCGATTTCTCATTCCTACAGGTGGGGAAAATAGATCTTTGCAGTTTTTACTGTATATACCTGTAGAGTGCATTTGTGCATACTCACTTGATCAATGGCATTGGTTCCAGGAGCTTTTTTTAGGGATGCACTGATATTGAATTTTTTACTGATACCGTTACCCGATAACGCTATCGAATTGGAGGCCGATATATTAGCCAGTAAACATACCAGCGACCTTTTTGCTGTGAGGCGAACGTGCCATGAACTGCGCCACCGTGTCGGCCCTTATGGGAAATATGATAGATAAATAAAAGATTTAAAGGGGGCTGATCATTTATTTATTTATTTTATTTAAATTAATTAATTAATTTATTTATTTATTTATTTATTTATTTATTTATTTATTTATTTATTTATTTTTTATGATTTATTTATTTTATTTATTTATTTATTTATTTATTTATTTATTTATTTATTTATTTTTTATTCATTCATTTAAATCTTGAAGATAACATATAAAAAAGTTTTAATTAATATAGATAGATATAAAGCTATTGTAGATATAAAGCTATAGATATAAGTTGCTCTCTTTAACAAACAAAAACGTGAATAACGTGAAGTGTCTGTAATGTTTCATCAACTGAACGTTGGAACTTCATCTCTCTCCACAGTCTATCCGTGAGGTAACCGGCTACATCCTCATCGCTATAAACCAGTTCAGACGTTTACCGCTGGAGCAGCTGCGGGTTATACGGGGAACGTCTCTGTATGAAGATAAATTCGCCCTCGCTGTCCTTGTCAACTATCAGAAAGACGGAGTGTATGGACTGAGGGAGCTGGGCCTCACACACTTGACAGGTGACACATTCTCACCCACAGAAACACATTCTGTCAAAACACCTACGCGCTTTAACAACTAGACACTTGAGAGGGTGTGGTGTAAAGAGTGAGTCAACGGATGGAAAAAAAAATTTGCGCCATGTGTGCTTTATAAAACCTTGTGTGTGCGTCTTTGTTGGAGTTTTTTGTCTTTTTTGTTTTAGTTTGGCAGTGTTAATGCAAACAGTATTTACTAGTGACGTGACGAGATCTCAACCTATGAGATCTCACGAGATTAAATTGTGATGAGATTTCTCATCAAGGTGAGTTGTGATGTTATGATTGAGTGTGAGGGTGAATTTAGCACTGAAGATTGGAGGCAGAATTGGATTTGAACTGCACATTAAGTGCTTTACACACACCTGGCAACCCGGGCTGCCTCTGTATTGCACGTCACACGTTTGCTTGGGTGAACGCGTACCTGCTTTTTTCACCGGAGTTCAAAGGTTGCCGCATCCAAAGGTAGAGACCACCACAAACACAACACAAATTAACTGGTTCATAGCCAAGCGATGGAGTAGCACTTTAGATATGCTTAAAGTCATGATCGTTGTAAACAGAAATCAAACTAAGACATATGGGGTATTCCTATTTCAGTCGCATTATTGAAGTGCAGTACAAGCATGTTAACACCGTAATCAAATTATTACCGTCAACTAGAACTTTTAGCCACATTTTGTGACAGGATAAGCCATACACACATGATTGTTGGACACTATTCTATACACCTACTGAATCAGTGTCAGTACATCAGTAAGTCAAATAGTCAAAATACTTAGGACCATGTGATATTTCTGTGTTTTTCTCACAACTTAAAGCATTTTAGCAAATGGTTGCATCATAACAAAGGTCTGAATACTTTCCGTACCCACTGTACGTATATATATATATATATATATATATATATATATATATATATATATATATATATATATATATATATATATATATATATATATTCAAGAACCAGACAGAACTGTTATATATATATATATATATATACAGTTCTGTCTGGTTCTTGAATCTGATTGGCTGATAGGCTTGTGATATTCAGCAAATAACAGCAGCACATTTACAGCCCCTTCACCCTTCACTCCGGTGTATTACTCCGCCCACATGCAGCAACAAGCAGAGGGTGCTCTACAGTTTGACTAATATTGCTGCTGTTGGACAACATACTGTACTCTTTTTTAGTCAAGAATGTGGTTTAGTTTGCGACCATGTAATTGTTTACAAGGATAGTGCCTATTTTAAAATATTTATAATTTTGGAGGCCCAGATTCAGTGCATCAGCCATCAGCCTGTCATACTGTGCAGACCAACGAGAGTGATGGTTGACGTTCCGCCACAAGATGGCGATGGAGACCACAAAATAAGTCCTTAGAGTGAGAATAACCTTAGCGTTTTCTCAACGTAAGTCAAATTATTATAAATCAAGTAAGTGAAATTCTGAGTTGATCTCTCCTTTTTGTATGATGTAATGCTGTATTTATACCACATAACTTGGTAGTGTTTGCTTTGCTTCTGCTATTTCGGGGTTAATTATTGTGATTTCCTGATTGCAACAGAGAAATACTGGGAAATCTCTGTAGACTGATGGCATTTCATGCCGTTCAGCCTTATAATCTTAAAATGTGAGCAAAAATGACCTGTTTTGTCATCACCTTAGACATTAAGCTAGAGAATCATTCAAATAGTAGCACTAAAGTGACGTTTGTGAAGTAGCAGCGGTTTCTGCTGGTCAGCTGCAGATAGTAGTTCCTCTTACAAAAAGGTTTTTGAGAAGGTGTTTGATTTTCATTTTTATTTACACGATTATGCCGTCGAACTGTTATATAAGCACAATATCACACGAGTAGCAGTGCGATGTGGCTGTATATCATAATGTCATAATTATATATATATAATACACATTCATATTATTTATAAATACAAACTTTTATTTCATATTGGATGCGATTAGTTGCGATTAATCATTTGACAGCTCTGTCGTTAAAATCCTTAAAATTAACACAATTTAAATTCATAACTGGTGCTGGTAAAGAAATTGATGTCAAGGAAAGTGTAAGAAACTATTTATATATATATATATATATATATATATATTTAACTATATATATTTAACTATTTTAAAATATATTTTTTTTAACTGACATTTTTGTCCTTTCTAAACAATGTATAACCTTTCCAGTTCAACACACAGTGGTTAAAGAAACCACTTGCATGCAATTGTGCATTCAGTCATCTTGGACCAGCACATACTTTCTAATTGCCTTGAGCGCTTCATAGCTTAAGGAAAAATCCTATAATGTATTGTTCCCGTGATGAATTCCAGTAGATTGGCGTTAGATGGCTACAGTTAGACGAGAACATGTCTCGACCTGCTTCAGCAAACAACACACATCTAAAGTGAAATTCAAGCCTTGTAGTTTTATCTTTCCATTGTGTGTCTCTGAGTGTGTGAATCAATGAACATGTTTGTCATGATTTCCAGTGCCCTTCCTCTAACCTCCTTCAGATGCCATTGTGACTCAGTGTGTAGAATCAATACAAATGTTACTTATTTTTCAAATGAATCATGGTACATGTCTTTATTAAGAGAGATTTCTAGGTCAAAATCTCTGCTTGAGTGTGATTGGTTTCTTGGAGTTCATTTAGGAAACCACCTTGAATGTTTATGCATTTGCCAAACAAAACATTTATATCAGCTACTTTGTGGGGAAGCACTACTCAAATATTCATTCATTCATTTTCTTGTCAGCTTAGTCCCTTTTATAAATCCGGGGTCGCCACAGCGGAATGAACCGCCAACTTAACCAGCAAGTTTTTACGCAGCGGATGCCCTTCCAGCTGCAACCCATCTCTGGGAAACATCCACACACACATTCACACACACACACTCATACACTACGGACAATTTAGCCTACCCAATTCACCTGTACCGCATGTCTTTGGACTGTGGGGGAAACCGGAGCACCCAGAGGAAACCCACGCAAAGGCAGGGAGAACATGCAAACTCCACACAGAAACGCCAACTGAGCCGATGTTCGACCCAGCGACCTTCTTGCTGTGAGGCGACAGCACTACCTACTTCGCCACTGCCTCGCCACTAATCAAATATTATAAATGAAATTAGACGAAATTAGACTAACTTTTTATAAAAAACACTTTTCGGTTTGTGGGTCAAAGATTTGTGGTCCCTGCCCTGAAGAAAATGATTCATTGGATTTACTAGATTTTTGTAAGGTACAGTGGGTGACACTTTAAGAAGAGCATTACCGCCATGAGTCGTACCGCCGCCGCACTAAAGGAGTACAAACGTTTTTTTAGGTACAACAACAATTTGCGACTATGCTGCCCGGTGGCACAAAGGGACCGGATGCAAACGGACAGAAATATACAGTAGCTGTAAATACCTTGCTACTTATAAGATAAAATAAAGATAAAGATAAAATAAAGAGACAAAGCATTTTAATTCCTTCATTCATTGTTAAAAACTTTGATGACAAGCTTTATTATCATTGTAAATGTGTTAAGTAAAATGAGGATTCACTTTGGAAAGTAAAATTAAAAAAATAAAAGACAACAAAAATGAAAGTACAAACATACACATAAATAAGTCTACCCTAAATAAACAAATAATTCTATATAAATAAAGCAGTTTTTTAGCCTAAAAATAGAGAGATGTACAGTGTTTGTTATTTTAAGAGTGATAGGACTAAGACAGTCAATAGAAAGTCATTTACAGTTTTCTTTTACATTTTCGTTGTTGATTATATTTTCCAATCTAATTTTATGTCTCAATTACTGTACATAAATTATAAATTAATAATTAAATAGGCCTAAATAATTAGTTAGACAGTGGTTTGCAAAAAAATATATGGGCTGAATATAAACAAACACTAGGTTGGACATTACTAAATTTCATTTGTTTGTTTAAATTTAGCCCAAGTTTGCAAAAACATTTAGTTAATCCAATGAATCATTTTTATTCAGTGTGTATCAAATTTTAAAAATCTTAACTGTGATTTTATTTACATAGAAAGGATATTAAATGCAAAAAGCATCTAACTGAATGCTTAAAATAACACTTGTGAAACAAAAGTGTCAAAATATAAACAGTATTTATGCAGAAGCTAGCCAACACACATATAAGATGTACAGTTGAAGTCAGAATTATTAGCCCCTTCGATTCTTTTTCTTCTTTTTTAAATATTTCCCAAATGATGTGTAACAGAGCAAGGAAATTTTCACAGTATGTCTGATAATATTTTTTCTTTTGAAGAAAGTCTTATTTGTTTTATTTCGGCTAGCATAAAAGCAGCTTTTAATTTTTTAAACACCATTTTAGGGACAAAATTATTAGCCCCATTAAGCTGTATATTTTTTTGATAGTCTACAGAACAAACTATTATATTTAGAAATCAATCTGTTGTAACCAATCTGCTCTCAGTTAAACAGAAATTGGGGAATAAATGAACAAGCAGTCTAATAATTCAAGGGGGTTAATAATTCTGACTTCAAATATATATATATATATATTTTTATTGCTTATTATCCAGAAATACTGAATGCGAGAATTTTAATATGTCATGAAATGATTCTTGTTTGGGTGGCATAATGGCTCAGTGGTTAGCACTGTCGCCTTACAGCAAGAAGGTCTCTGGTTTGTGTCCTGCTGGATCAGTTGGCATTTCTGTGTGGAGTTTGCATGTTCTCCCGTGTTGGCGTGGGTTCATTCTACTGATGAATAAAGCGGCTACACCAAAGAAAAATGAATGAAGGAATGATTCTTGTTTTAAATATCTGACATTATTTGGGGACAAATAAACCACTGTTACACTAAATGACAGTTTAGCAGTTGTCTTTCATAAATCAATGTTAACAATGACTATTTTTGCTCTGAAAATGCAAGACACATTTTAATTAATACAATTTTAATGTATTAAAGCATATTAAAGCACACTTTGACTGTTATATATTACTTGATTGTCAGTTCATGGGTGGCACGGTGGCTCATTGGTTAGCACTGTTGCCTCACAGCAAAAAGGTCAACAAGAATGAATAAATCATTGTCATTTCAATTTCCTAAATTCGTCTACAGAGATCCTGGAGGGTGGCGTGCAGATCATCCAGAATAAATTCTTGAGCTACGCACCGCAGATTAACTGGCAAGACATTGTGAAAAACAGTGGAGCAGAAGTCATCATACAAGACAATGGACCAGAAGGTAAGGAGACAATACTAAATGCATTCATTATTTTCACATCTTCATTATAAAATTTACGGTCAGGAGGATTTCTTAATCTTTTGAAATACATCTCTTATGTCCAATAAGGCTTTATTTATTTGTGCATTTGTGAAATATTATTACATTTTGAAATCATTGAAAACAATATTTTATTTAAAAAATATAGATTAATTTAATTTCTGAGGCAAAACTGCATTATTACTCTGGCCTTCATTGTCACATGATCCTTCAGAAATCATAAGAATACACTGATTCGCTTCTCAAGAAAAATTTATTTTCATTATTAATGTTAAAAACTGCTTAATATTTTCATAGAATCAATTAGACATTTGATCATGCAAGCAGAATTTACTTTTAAAAAAGAGTTTTATTTGCACCAAAAAACGCATCTTTGCTTTTTTAATAGTTTTATTCAGCAAGGATGAAATATTTTTTTACAAGAAAAAAGTCTTACTGACTAAAGATTTTAATATATATATATTAATGATGGTGATATGTCATGTTTTATTTAATAATCAAATGTTGTTTGACTTTTTTATAGCTATTGAGTTTACCAATTTTCCAGTTCCAGGTTGCTTAACTTGTTTTATATATTCAGATTTATAAAGTATGAATACATTTTTAAGATTTGACTATATTTGTTTTGAATGTGTAGATAAATAAATAGAAAAACTCTCACTTTGGCTGCTGATCTTAAGGAAAAATATAAATTATTGTGGATTTTTGTTTAGTTCCCTGTCATGAGTCTTGCGGGGGTCCATGTTGGGGTCCAGGAAATGACACCTGTCAAATCTGTAAGTCCCCAGAAACTCTCTCTCTCTCTCTCTCTCTCTCTCTCTCACACACACACACACACACACACACAAAGTCATTCATTCATTGATTAATTTATGTTCCTTCGGCTTAGTCCTTATTTATTTATCAGGGGTTGCTACTGGGAAACACCCATACACTCTCACATTCACACATGCTCATAAACCACGGCCAATTTAGTTTTACACACACACACACAAACACAAATATGTGGCTTAAAGCACCTCTTGAAAACTCCTCCTATATTATAGTAGGTGATGTAATCAAGGTAGGTAATATATAAAAGTTCAAAAATACTTTCAATTTATCAAAACATGCATTGAAGCTTTAGAACTTCTCCCGTTAAACTCCAACATTCTTAAGGAGCTTTTACACCTGTAGATTGAATGTTTTGTTCCAAAACATGAGTTTAAATTGTTACAATGTTGCTTTTACACGGGGTATTTCTAAACTAACCAAAATTGTTCAAACAAGTCACGTATGAGTAAACTCTCCTCACGGTTTATTTTCCGGCATTCCGTTTATAGTCGTCATACGTCATTTTAATTGATGATAATGAGCAATAAGACATTTAAATTAGGGCATTATAAACTAAAAAGGTGCATATTAATTTTAAATGGTGACACCCACAGACATCGTCACCAAAGAGATAATACCTTTTGCTTTCATTCACATTTTAATGATTAATTATGCACTTACAGACTGAGTTGACTGGAATTCTGCAATTATGCATTTATTTATGGAGAGGATTAACAGATGAACCGATTGCATTCAGAACACTATGCAGATTAATGTTTGATCTTTCTTTCCAAGTGTCCAGTACTGGGTTGCAGTTGGAAGGGCATGCACTGTGTAAAACATATGCCGGAATAGTTGGCGGTTCATTCTGCTGTGGCGAGCCCTGATTAATAAAGGGACTAAGCCGAAGGAAAATGAATGAATCACTAGATTATTAAGAAAAAAAATCATCTTCCATGAAGACCTTTTTTTTCTCACTAGTTTTATGCATTTTGATTGGTAAGATGCATTGCTAAGAATTTAATTATAAAGGTAATTTTCCCAATATTTGTATAAAATAAAATATTCAAATAGATTTATCTTGGACAAATATTATTGTGCAAGAGTGGCTTGACACAAGGAATGTGACGGCTGAAACCCATGTCTTGCATACATCTGTGCGTAGTGGCTCTTAAAGCACTGACTCCAGCTGCAGTCCACTCTTTGTAAATATAGCTGAAGTCAGATTTATTAGCCGTTCTGATTTTTTTCCCACCAATTTCTGTTTAACGGAAAGAAGATTGTTTTCAACACATAATATTTTAGTAGATATTTTTAAGATACTAGTATTCAGCTTAAAGAGCAATTTAAAGGCTTAACTAGGTTAATTAGGCAAGTTAGGGTAATTAGGCAAGTCATTGAATAATGATGGTTTGTTCTGTAGAGAATTGGAAAACAATATAGCTTAAAGGGGCTAATAATATTGACCTTAAAATGTTTTTTAAAAATTAAAAACTGCTTTTATTCTAGCTGAAATAAAACAAATAAGACTTTCTCCAGAAGAAAAAAATATTATAGGAAATACTGTAAAAAATTCCTTGCTCTGTTAAACATCATTTGGGAATTATTTGAAAAAGAAAAAAATTCAGAGGAGAGCTTATAATTTTAAGATTAAAATATGAAGGAAAAAAATGCCAGATGGTAATTTCGGACAGTTTGGCCCCCATTAAGATCTTGTTAATTAATCAATATTACAATTGATTTGTATCTTACTGTATTTCTCTGTTATTCTCAGTGACTAAGACAGTGTGCGCACTGCAATGTAACGTGCGCTGTTTTGGACGCAGCCCGAGTGAGTGTTGCCATAATGAGTGTGCCGGCGGCTGCACCGGACCCCTCGACACCGACTGCTTTGTATGTTCAAACACAACAACCCAACAACATGATTCCAGCAGTGCTAAATTTGACTTGAGCGTCTGTGTATTCACAGGCCTGCAGAAACTTCAACAACTCGGGCTCGTGTGTGTCGCAGTGTCCAAGGGCTGATATTTACAACAAAGTGACATTCAAAATGGAGCCCAATCCTAACGCCAAATACCAGTTTGGCTCCATGTGTGTGTCACATTGCCCTCGTAAGTGATTCCACGATTAATTTATGAAATACATTTCTCTTTAGCAAGGCATCAACAATAGCTAATATATCAAATTTTATATTATAAGTGACCTGGGACAACAAAAGCAGTCTATATTGAATAGCCAAACTGTCTTGTATTGGTTATTTTGCCAAAAATCACTAATATATTTAGAAAAGGTCATCTTGAATGTTTCCAAACCTTTTATTTATTTTTTTATTGTTTTGTTTTATGAATTTTTTGTAATATGCATGGCTAAGGATTACATGTTAAAGGTTTTTTCCAATATTTACCTATATATATTTATAATTTTTATATAAATATATTTATTTATATTTATAAATATATATTTTTTCTCTTCCTATCTTTTTTTAATCTTTTTTTTTATTTCTCAAATCCCTTAAAATTCGATCAATCTAATCTGTTGTAAGTCAGTTTATATGATATATTTGGCTGGATATATATGTGTTTCACGTAAATCTTATCTCCTATCAGCTCAATAATATGTATATAATAAAATAAATAATTAAACAAATCTCAATTTTTAAAAAATGCTTATGGTTCAGGAGTCACATATAAGAGTTTATGAAGAACTTACTGTGTAAATAATAATAATAATAATAATAATAATATATAATAAATAATATATACTGATTGGCCTTATTTTTTTGTGCTCCAGCTAATTTTGTTGTAGATGGCAGTTCGTGTGTTAGCAGCTGTCCAGCAGACAAGATGGAGGTGGATAAAACAGGGGTGAAAAGGTGTGAGAAGTGTGAAGGCCTCTGTCCTAAAGGTAACAGCACTGTTTTCTTTGCCTTTAATTTTTTCTTTAAACTTGTGTTGCATGAACCATATTTCCTATAAACTCTAAACCACTCTTTAAAAACTGCTTTTAAGGTTTTTTGTTTGGTATTTTTTCCTTTGTTAATATAAAATAGTTAGAGACATTTTGCCTAAACAAAAAACAAAAACAAAAAGTTTAATGGACAATAATATAATTTATAAATAAATAAATAATTAAAAATAAACATTCATTGATTTTTTGCAAGTGCAATTACAAAATATAAAATAGAATTCTATTGTTAAACATACCTCAAAATTACGAAAACAAAATCTTTTTTTATACTTTTATTTTTATTTCTCTTTTTAAGGAAGAAAAAGAAAAAAGAAAAGCAATACAAATACAACTAATAAATGATAGATTAAAAATAAATAAATGCAATAACACATCGGAACTTAAATGAACATTGAATGTTGTCTGGTCACATATTTCCTTACAGGTCACATCAACAAATACATATAGAGATCAGTTCACTCTGTGTAAAGGCATAAGTACAATCCATTTCTCCCAATATTGCAGGTCTTTGTCCATTTGTAGTTTTAAAGAAAAAGTCATTCTCCCCATATTTTGAACATTAGATACGATATCCAACCATTCCGATTTTGTAGGCGGTTCGAATTGTAGCCACTTTCCAGTTACAGTTTTCTCACTGGTTGCTAGAAGTATTTAAAAAGAAAGTCATTTTTTCTACTTTTTGTTTACTTTTTTCTTTTCATATTATTATTTTTACAAATATATATATATATATATATATATATATATATATATATATATATATATATATATATATATATATATATATATATTTTTTTTTTTTTTTTTTTTTTTTTTTTTTTTTTTACCTAGTTGGTATGGAAGATTACATTTTTTTTACCATAATTTTATCTATAATTAAACTTTAACCTAAATCACTATATATGGGAAATCCTCAAAAAGCTCCAATATTATTATCATGAAAAAGACACTTGTAAATGTAAGGTATCAATATGAAAACAGAATACAACGGTAATAAATATTGAAATAATGAAATTACGAATAGGCTACAATAATTACAGTACATGTAGGCTCTTGAATTCCTCAGGTTATGGTAATCATTATCGTAGACATATCTCTTAACATAGTGAAGAGGTGAGTTGAGTTTGTGTGTTTTTCTCTGTGTTCAGCCTGTGTTGGCACCGGCACCGGCACCGCCTCCAGACAGACAGTAGATTCCCAAAACATCGACAGCTTCATAAACTGCACCAAGATTCAGGGCAGCCTGCACTTCCTTGTCACAGGAATTAAAGGGTGAGTGGAAGAACACTGAGAGATTGTAACTTTGAACCTGGATGTAAAGATTTAATCATTATCATTTCTAATCAAACACCTAATTTTAAGTATTATTAGGGTTAGGGTTATTCATGTAAAATTTTAAATGTAAAAAAAAGTTTTATATAATTTACTTTTATATATTTTAAATGATGATAATAATCATCAGATGATAATAATTCATCGAAATGTTATATTCCCTCATTTGTTTCACAAGTTAACCATTTATGCAAAGTTTTTAACAAAGAAAATAAAAATGTGCAAGAAGTGATGCATGAACTGAAATGCGAGATGTCTGATGAAAGAAGTGTCAGACATGCTGTAATATGATGAAAGTGAAATTAATGTCACAAAGGGAAGAGGATTAGACACTTTTATAGAAAATGAAATGTCCATCATTTTTAACGGTAAATAACAGAATATACTGTATAGTGACTGGAATGTTTCTGGTAAAAATTAGTTCTGTTTTTATATCTACTGTTGCACACGGTGGACAAAAAACTAAAGGGTAGATAGATATACAGTTAAAATCAGAATTATTAAACCCTCTTTGATTTTTTTTTTTTTTTTAAGTAATTCTTAAATGATGATTAACAGAGCAAGGAAATGTTCACAGTATATCTGATTATATTTTTTCTTCTGGAGAAAGTCTTATTTGTTTTATTTCGTCTAGAATAAAAGCAGTTTTCAAATATTTTAAAACCATTTTAAGGTCAAAATTATCAGCCCCTTGGAGCTGTATATTTTTCGATAGTCTAACAATCATCATTCAATAACTTTCCTAATTACCCTAACCTGCCTAGTAAACCTAATTAACCTAGTTAAACCTTTAAATGTCACTTTACACTGAATTGAAATGGAATAGATAAAATAAATCAGTTATTAGAAATGCGTTATTAAAACTATTATGATTACAAATGTGTTGAAAAAAAATCTGCTCTCTGTTAAACAGAAATTGGGGAAAAATAATTCAGGGGGGCTAATAATTCTGACTTCAATTGTATATAGAGAGAGACTGAATGATGTCTTAAAGTAAATTTTCTAAAAAATAAATTCTGTATTATTTTCTGAACACTTTTTATTTTTTGTAAATCAGTGCTCAAAGTTAAAGGTAATGGAAAATGCTTCATCTTAAATCATGTCTCTCTTCCCTCCACAGAGACAGTTATAATAACATCAGTGCTCTGGATCCAAAGAAACTTAAGATCTTCAACACTGTCCGAGAGATCACAGGTGTGTGTACCTTGTATTGCTTAAGTTGTGGAGACCAGATGTCCCAATAAAGGATAGCAATAGCAGTAAATTGTGACCTTGTGGAAATTTAATTTGGTCCCCTTGAGGCAAACGGCTCGTAAATCATCCAGAATGAAGTATTTTGAAAGTGTAAAAATTCAGATTTTCTGTCTTGTGAGGGTTGGTTTTTGGGATAGGAGTGAGGAATCGCCATGCATTTTTAACGCTTGTATTGTATTCTATTGTTTTTATTGTGTTTTTATTTGAATTTATTGTTTAGCTGTCCTGTTCGGTGACCTTGAGTGTCATGAAAGGCATCTTTAAATAAAATGCATTATTATTATTATGTAATAAGCAGTTTTTACAGTATATAATACATTCGGACTATGTAGAGCCCAAATATGTATTTTATACTGTACAATGTGGTTATTGTACAGCCTTACTGTACTTTAAACCTTTAAAACTAACCCTCAAAGGAAACCTGTGGCAAATTTTGAATGTGAAAAGACCCTGTTAACTATGATTGTTAGGAATTTTGAATTACACGGACACAAAGCATGTCCTCATAATCCGGCTTAATAGAGTACAATTAGGTCATACTTAAGTCATTATATAAGTTTGTGTCCTCATAAACCGCAATAGAAGTACACATGTATTTGTGTGTGTTCGCCATTCTGCACTCTACATTCAGTCTTTTCCGTATCACTTTTAATGCATCATCCATAAAGTATTATTGCGTGTTGTATATGATTTGTTTGTGATAAATAAAAATCTTGATTCGGTCTAACTCACCTCTCGATCTGCTTAATAGACATTCTGAGTATTCAATCTTGGCCTGAAGAGCTGGAAGATCTTTCTGTTTTCTCCAATCTAGCAACAATACAGGGAAGAACACTGTATAGGTGAGCATGGAGTAAAAAGCATTCATGTTATATTAATATTTGCACTGAGAGTTTTTTAAAAAGATTCTTAATTAGAGCAGTAAAGGCTATAATATACTCACAGTCAAGCGCATATATATTCCCAAAGTATACTTCATTTGATAATGTGCAAACACAGGCATTCGACACGTTGACACAATGCTAAAAAGATTCCCTCTTGTAGAGTTTTATACTGTTATACTTGCTGTTTTTGGTACTTCAATTCAATAAAAAGTGCAACTATTAGCTAAATTAAACACACTATTACAAAAACTATTAGGTAAATACAGTACTTAACATATACAGTATATAGACCTAGCCTAGTCATTTATTTTTTTCATTATTTTATTTTATTTATGTTATTTTGTTATTATTTATGCACTTTTATTTTTCTGAATTACCTTTTATCTTTATATTTTGTGTTTTGCATTTTTGTTTTTCTTTAGGTTTTAGTCATTTGATGTGTATATTTGTAATATATATATATATATATATATATATATATATATATATATATATATATATATTATATATTTTTTATCATTGTTTTATATATATTTTTTATCATTGTTATATATATATTTTTTTTTTATCATTGTTTTATATATATATTTTATCATTGTTTTATATATATATTTTATCATTGTTTTATATATAATATATATATATATATATATATTTTTTTTTTATCATTGTTATATATATATATATATATATATATATATATATATATATATATATATATATATATATATATATATATATATATATATATATATATATGTATGTATATATATATATATATATGTATATATATATATATTATTTTTATTTATCATTGTTTTTTATGTATATACTACTAGGAGTTTTAAACATTTAATTTGTTAATTCGTGACTATATTTTGCTGTAGATTATGTGTTTATCTAATAATTTTGTTTTAATTATCGAATGCAATTGATACAAAAACAAGCCTAGTTTACTTTTTTTTTTACAATAATATTCAACAATGTTAGGGAATCATCCAGACCTCTAGCTGTAGTTTTTACATTGACAATCATCACTAAATGCTTTTTTAGAAAACTGAACATTTCAAGTCTCTAGAAGTTATGTAGCATTCATTTGCATGCCGCTTTTTTATTCTTCCTCCAGAGGAGTGAGCTCTAAGAGGTAGGATTGGATTTGGATTTTTTTTTTTGCTCTATTTTCTCTCTTTATCTGCTTTTTAAAAATAAATACTGCAAACTTATTCAAATTTCAAATTTCACAGTTTGCATGATTTGTCATTGCTTCACAATCAGCCCTGTGGTGTGGTGTTTCTAAGCTTCAGATTGGTGGTTGGAAATCTTGCATGGGAAACATTGATGTGGAGATTATAAACTCATTTACTGTCAAGATTTCACCTGGGGTGCATTTCCCAAACAACGACATAACTCGTGGCTGAATGCATTGTTTGTAACACAGGCTCATTCTGAAAACGTAGGCCTATACATTTCTGGAGAGCCCCAAATATGTCCTAGGAGGTCGTTTCTTTTTTTTTGCAGTTTTTGTTTTTGAGAATCCACCAGAGGGATATAGGGATATAGTTGCAAGTCTACAAGTTTTCGAATGTTTGTTGGATTTAAGAAACACCAATCAACGAACTGTGCATGTTTTTAACAATAGAACTTGCCACCTTAGTTGGGTAACGATGGGTTTCGGAAACGCACCCCTGATTTCCAGAAAAGTTATTTTTTATATGATGTGGATAAAGCCATCATGGAAATGCATGGCTGAAGCAAACCAATTAGTTCTTTGGGGAACTTAAAAGGGTTCTTCTATGATATCACTTTTGAAAATGTTTTTTTGTTTATTAGAGTAAATTCATGACATGCAATTTCGTAAGATATATCTTGAGTATTTTTCCACTTACTCCCTCTCTCTCAGGGGTTATTCTCTTTTGGTAATGAAGATCCCAACGCTGAAGTCTCTGGGCCTTCGCTCTCTGAAGCGAATCAGTGATGGAGGGATCTACATCACAGGAAACACACAGCTCTGTTATCATCACACTGTGAACTGGACGCGTTTGTTCGGCAGCGGTCCGCGAGCCCTGCGCCGCCAAAAATCACTGGACATCAAGGAGAATCGCCCTCAGGAGCAATGCAGTGAGTACTTCTGAAGATAGCTTTCCTTGAGTTATGGGCTGTCTGAACTACTATATTGAATGCGTCCCTATTTTACTTTAAAAACATTTTTCTAAAGGTGCTGTTGACTTGAAATTTTCAACAGATGTCAGCAACAACCAAAAAAATCCATGCAGCCAAATAAAACAAAACTGATTACTTTAGAAAATAAATTATGTATAATAAAATGAAATGACAGAGGGAACAAAAGTATTAAACACATGAAGAAAGGGAGGCATGAAAAGTCATGGAAAGCCCAGACAGCAGCTGAAATCTCTCAGTAGTAATTTAGCACCTACCGCTCATACAGTAAGTGTAATGAATATCAGCTGCTTCAGTCCCAAACTACATTAGCAGCATGATGAAGATGAAACCAGGGTGGACATTTCAGCAAGACAATGATCCCACAGCCAAGGAAACTTTGAAATGGTTTCAGAAAAGAAAATAAAGCTGCTAGAACGGCCCTGCCAATCACCTGACTTGAATCTAATAGAAAATAAGAGCTAAAGGTCAGAGTTCACCAACACCCACAGAACTGTCATAAGTTTTAGACTCTTTTGAAATGTTCACGACTGCATTCTCCATACAAGAGGCGTTCTCATCGCCCAAAAAAGCCATTTATTCATTGTAAATACATGTCACTAGTTCAGAATTTTCAGAATTTTCTCCTTTCATTGTTATTGCACATTCTCATTTTGTTTAAATGTATGTTTGGGGTTCAATTTCATGTCAACAGATTCTTCAGAAATATACTTACTTGGAAAAATCTTGACGTTTTCAATATGTAATTAATATGCTATATTGTATATGAAAGTTTATTTTTATGTAGTATTGCAGTATTTATTAGAAACCATTTATACTACAAGGCTATTGAATGCTTACTTATGATTGGTTGATGAAGATTTGCAGTTATTTTCAAGGAAAGCGTATATAAAGTCATTTCAGGCTGGTTTTGATCACTTTAATTATACCCTGAATTATTTCCAAGGTTCTCACAGCCTTCAACAGCAAAATAACAGAAAGTCATTGTATAAGCATGAAAAAATATTAAACTATAGGCTAGAAATAATAAGTTTTTCCAATGTTAATATTTTAGTTTTTCTCTTAAAATAATATTTCTTGTCTACTGAAAGCACACGCTCTCTTGTTCCTGTTTTTTCCTACTATACAAACACACATTAATTCAGTGTAGATGCACACAGAAACATACACGACACAAAAGTGTGTCAAATCCCCAACATTGATGAATGTTTTTGGTAGTTATTAACAGGACCGATGCTGGTGAAGACATCAGTCAAAAGCAGAAGAAAATGTTACAGATAGTGATCATTTCGGCAGTTAACATTAATTACATTTTTGTCTATCAAGACGCCAACAATTCTGTCATCTAAGGATTGATTTATAACTTTTTTAAATGATGCAGCGCTGGGGTTAATCTTTGTTTTCATAAATATCAATGTGTGCCTATGTGTGTGTGTGTGTGTGTGTGTGCAGAGTTAGAAGGCCATGTGTGTGACCCACTGTGCTCCTCTGAGGGATGCTGGGGTCCGGGACCCGATCAGTGTTTGTCCTGCAAGAACTTCAGAAGAGGAGGAACATGTGTACCAGACTGCAACTTCATGTCCGGGTGAGTGAACGACCGCAGATCAACACACACTAACAAGGGCACTGCATTTGTGCAGACCAGCTTACAATTCCCGTGTATTGAGCAACCACTGCATGTAGGAATTTCTGAAATGATAGTTTCAGTACATTGGAATGATTTTGACTCTAAAAAGGTGCTTAGAAATGGTCAACACCCTGGGCAGTGAAGTAAGGAGTGGTTTGAGACACACCTAGTGTGCACTTTTGATGTGTGTTCTGTCGATAGATAGACAGACAACAGTGGTGTTTTAAAGGGACAGTTCACTCAAAAAATGGAAATTTTTTCATCACTTACTCATCCTTCATTTATTTTAAAAGCGTTTAGGGTTTCTTTTTTCTGTTGTTGAAAACAAAAGAAGATATTTTGAAGAATGCTAATTACTGGGACCCAGTTTTTGGAGGAGATTTATGAAGGAGATTTTGACAATGTTGACAACTGTCATTTTAAATGCAAAAGATTACATAGTTTGAGATGTCTTTGTCATGACAACTTGACTTTACTAAGACAACATAACTTAATCATCATGATAATACTACTACTACTACTACTAATAATAATGATACTACTACTAATAATAACAATAATAATAATAATAATAATAATAATCATCATGATAATAATAATAATAATAAGATTCATGATAATAATAATAATTATGATAATAATAATGATAACAATAATAATAATGATAATAATGATGATGATAATAATAATAATGATAATAATAATAATAATAATGATGATAATAATAATGATGATGATGATAATAATAATAAGGATGATGATAATTATAATAATAATATTAATAATAATGATGATGATAATAATAATGATGATAATAACAATAATAATGATGATAATAATAATAATCATAATGATAATAATAATAATTTTGATAATAATAATAATAATAATAATGATGATAATAATAATAATAATAATCATAATAACATTAATAATTATGACAATAATAAGATTTATGATAATAATAATAATAATAATAATAATAATAATAATAATAATTATAATAATAATAATAATAATAACAATAATAATAATAATTATTATTATAATAATGATGATAACATTAAAAATAATGATGATGATAATAATAATAATAATAATAATAATGATGATGATAATATTAATAATAATAATGATGATTATGATGATGATGATGATGATGATGATGATGATGATGATAATAATAATAATGATGATAACATTAAAAATGATGATGATGATAATAATAATAATAATAATAATAATAATAATAATAATAATGATGATGATGATGATGATGATGATGATAATAATCATCATCATTATGATAATAATAATCATGATAATAGTAATAATAATAATAATAATCATGATGATGATGATAATAATAATAATAATAATAATAATAATAATCATATTAATAATAATAATAATAAAACATATAATAATATTTATAATAACAATAATAATAAAGAGAAGAAAGTCATTCATTAGATTTACTAATGTTTTTTAAGGTACCTGGTTGCAAACAATTGATATGGGCTGAATTTAAACAAACAAATTAAGTTGAATATTAATTCAATATTGTTTATATTCAGCCCATATAATTTGTTTTCAATCATGTCATGGTTATAAAGCTTATGACAGTCTTCATGACAGTCTTATGAACAACCCCTTCAAGTAAACACTAAAATGAGTAATTAACTCTGATCTCCAGTGTGTGTGTGTGTGTGTGTGTGTGTGTGTGTGTGTGTGTGTGTTGTGATGTGATGGTGCTGTCTGAATCCTCTGTCCTGCTCTTCACAGTGAGCAGCGTGAGTTCGCAGGCCCTAAAAACGAGTGTATGGCTTGTCATCAGGAGTGTGCGCTTCAAGACAGCGGAGACACCTGCAAAGGACCGGTAACACACTGTCCTCTGATGAAAAGCTGCTGTCTGTTTGCAGTTATTGTTTGATTCATTGACTAACATGCCATCTCGCTGGTCTCGCAGGGCTCTGATGAGTGCAAAGCGTGTGCTCATCTGCAGGACGGCCCGTACTGTGTGTCCTCCTGTCCAGAGGGAGTTCAGGGGGAAAATGGACTCATCATTTATAAGTTCCCTAATAGACAAAACAAATGCCAACCTTGTCATGCCAACTGCACCTTGGGGTGAGGAAGCAAATATGCATGCATTTTCATATTGTTTTATTTTGTGTTTTTGATTATGTTTGTTTAACTGGTTCTGCTTAACCCTCATATTGCATTCAAAATCTGCATGCGATTTTCACATTGCTTGCTTTTTAGCACCAGAAATTGTTAAGCATTTTTTCTATTAAATAGGCTCATTATACAACTCCTCCAGAGTTAACAAGTTGAGTTTTACCATTATAAATCCATTTAGCTGGTCTTCGAGTCTGGGGGGAGCACTTTTAGCTTAGCTTAGCATAGATCATTGAATCGGATTAGACCATTAGCATCTCGCTCAAATAAAAGCTGACCTTGTCATGCCATCTGCACCTTGGGGTGAGGATGCAAATATACATCAATTTATATATGTATATATTTGATGCTAGTGATTATATTTGTTCGACTGGTTCTGTTTAACTCTCATATTGCAAAATTTATGCATGATTTTTACATTTCTTGCTTGTTTGGCCCCAAAAATTGTTAAACACTCCACTTTTTTTCAAAATAGGCAAATTTTACAACTCCCCTAGAGTTAAACTGTTGAGTTTTACCATTTTTACCAATTTTTTGCCGAGTCTGGTGGAAGCACTTTTAGCTTAGCTTAGCATAGATCATTAAATCAGATTAGACCATTAGCATCTCGCTTAAAGAAATGGCAACTTCTTTTTTCGAAATAGGCTCATTATACACTCCCCCTGAAGTTAAACAGTTGAGTTTTACTATTTTTAAATTAGTTCTGTCAAACTTCGAGTCTTGTGAGAGCACTTTAAGCTTAGCTTAGCATAGATCATTGAATTGGATTAGACCGTTAGCATCTCACTCAAACAAATGCCAACCTTGTCATGCCTGCTGCACCTTGTGGTGAGGAAGCAAATATGCATGCGTTTTTATATTGTTATAGTTTGTGTTTAAAATTATGTTTTATTCAAAATCTGCACACAGTTTTCACATTCCTTGCTTGTTTGTCCCAAAATTGTTTTTTTTTTTTTAAATAAGCTCGTTATACAACTCCCCTAAAGTAAAAGAGTTGCATTTTAACATTTTTAAATTAATTCAGACGATCTTTGAGTCAGAACTTTTAGCATAGCTTAGCATAGATCATTGAATCGGATTAGACCATTAGCATCTCGCTCAAACATTTAAAAAACAAATTTGATGTTTCGAATTTTATGATAATTAAAATTTTTGTATTTAAAGCTAGACTCTTCTGAATGAATTCTAGAATGTCTAGAAACTACTCTCATTCTGGTGCAATGACATTATGCAACAACACCTGAAATTAAGTAACAGTGCTACCTGAAAAACTTTAACAGAAATATTAACAGAAGTTTAGCTTAGCTCAGTTTAGTTCAGTTTAATTTAGTTATGTTTATTAACTTGTAATGCACAATAAAAAAAAAAAACAGAAGTTGCAACCAAAATGCTGTACAGAGGTCATTAAAACAGAATAATAATAAAAAACAATAATAATGACACCAAAGTTAACATTCTGGATCAAAATCCACAGGGACAAATGTAACAATATGGTACACTTTATTTTAATTTACAATTCACGCTAATAACAAACCGTTAACAAATCATTACCATTTAGCTCAATATTATTTTTAGTAAGTAAGGTAGTAGTTGGCTTTAGGTATTGTGTAGGATTAAGTATTTAAAATAAGACATTTAAGTGCTAATAAGTGCTAATACTTAAGTGCTAATAAATAGTTAATGTCTTAATAACAGAATGTAATAAGCCAGTAGTAAATGGTGTGAATTGTTACTTAAACTACATATTACCAAAAATATAAAAACAACTTCAATAACAACATAAAAAAAGGAAAATTACGTTTTTGTTAATTATTTATTTATTTATTTGCTTAAAAGTTGTTAATTTTTCTTAATTTACTAAAACATATGCTAAATAAAGGTGCTCACTTCTTTCATTTTAGGAATGTCTTTTTGAACAATAGTGCATGCCACTGTGACTGTAATCTTTAACATGACTGATAAACTAAAGCTGTGTTTTGCGTGTGTGTGTCAGGTGTTTGGGTCCGGGTCAGAATGACTGTGTGGACTCGTCCAGGTCCAGCGCTGGGTGAGAGTCTCCCTCTGCTGGTCTCTTCATGAATCGCCTGCATTTTCCCGTCAGCTCAGCTCATTATGGTGTTAATATTGTGCGTTACAGGCTGCCGGTCACCGCCATCGTGCTGAGCGTCATATTCTGTGTCCTGCTCGCGTTTTCGGTGTTTGTGCTGAGTGTGCTTTACCGCAGGAGTCTCTCCATCCGCAGAAAACGAGCCATGAGGAGATACCTGCAGAGCGGAGAGGTGTGTGTAGAAAACTTATTATGAATGACTGAATGAAACATGATGAAGGGTTTAAAGATTTAATATGTTATTTCTTTTGTCTTTGCCAACACTTTATAAAATCTTCTTGGTTATTTTTCAAGTTACTACACTGTAAAATCCTACAGTCAGCTTTATCAATTGAATTGAATGTAGTTAACCCAAAATTGACTGGAAGTTAATTCTGCTCATTTAAAAAGAGTTTTGAACTCAAGGTAATGAGGTAAGGAGTTAATTAAATACCTCAGTACTTCAGCTTAAATAAAGTAAGTTCACAGTACTCATATTGATTTTTTTATACTTAAATGGTTTGTTGCAATCAGTTTCCTCAAATGGTTTAAGTTGCCTTAGCTTATTGGGTTTTACAGTGTAGTATTCACCTTAAAGTGTGATTTAAAGGCTTAAATAATTTGATTAGGTTATCTATGCAGGTTAGGGTAATTAGGAAAGTCATTGGACAACAGTGATTTATTCTGTAGACAATAAATATATTTAAATATTTTTTTTATTCCAGCAAAACTAAAAGAAGACTTACTCAAGAAGAAAAATATAATAGGAAATACTGAATTATTTTCTTTGCTTTGTTAAACATCACTTAGAAAATATTAAAGAAAAAGGAAATTAAATAGTTATTAATTATAATTTTATCTTCAACTATTTATCTGCTGAAATATATTTAAATATTTTACTACTATATTTATTGGAAATATTGTTTGTGTATTTTTAAAATTGTAAAGTTTATTTAAATATATATATAAATATATATATAATAAATTATATATATATATATATATATATATATATATATATATATATATATATATATATATATATATATATATATATATATATTATACACACACACACACACACACATATACATTTTTATATAAATTATGCAAGAAAAAAAAAAAAAAAAAAATATATATATATATATATATATATATATATATATATATATATATATATATATATATATATATATATATATATATATATATATATATATATATTTATTATTATTATTTTTTTTTACATCACATCTAAAAGAAAGAAAGACTTGATCCAGAAGAACAATGTAACAGGAAGAACTTTGAAATTATTCTTGCCCTATTAAGCATCACTTAGGAAAATCATACATATTAATAATAATTTTGTCTTCAAATATATATGGTGAATATATGCTATTTAAATGCACTTTCTAAAACTATATACTATTTTAGCTAATTTTCTGTATTTCTGATATATATTTAAAAAAAAATAAAAGATTTTTTAAATAAATAAATGTTAAAATAAAATAAATGTTCTGTTGTTTTCATGATAATACATGATCATTTAACACTGGACTTTAATCTTCATTTGATGTTTAAAATTAGGAAACCCTACAGGAAATGACTACCACCAGAACAAACTAATATTACAAATGTATATAATTGCCTCAGCAACAAATACTTTAGATCTCCATCCACACTGTATTGAATCAATAGAAAGACATTTTTAAATATATTTTTTGTATGAAGTATTGAAACATTGAACATAGTGAAGATTGAAATTAAATATAATTCCAATTACATAATATTTTATTGAGCCTGACAAATTATATTGAGAGGTAGAATGTGTTTTAGCATAAAATAAATTCCATTTACAGAAACTGAATTGTTGTTAAATGTTCTGAATGTGAAAATGTGTTTTAGAGGATGAATAAGGTCACTGTGGTGAGACGCACGGTAAAAGTGCAATTATCTTATTTTATTTATTTATTTATTTATTTATTTATTTATTTATTTATTATTATTATTAATGTTGTTGCTTTACTGTTATTTTTTGTATGTGTGTTTTTTATATTATTTGTGTTTACTGGACTTATGATAGCAACATCTAACTGTAACTGCCTCTGTTGGTGAGGGTAGAAAAAAGGGTAAAAGGATGTAAAAAATGTGTAAAATGATGGAACTGTTAAATTATTGGAGAAAAAAAAAATTGAAAAAAAAAATGTGTTTCAGAGCTTTGAACCGCTGGAACCCGGAGAGAAAGGTGTGAAAGTTCATGCTCGGATTCTGAGAACTTCTGAATTGAAGAAGATCAAGCTTCTGGGCTCTGGAGTGTTCGGGACGGTTCACAAGGTACTGCTCTCATTACCTGAGCTCATCCTATATGCAAATAACTGGCATCACTTTCCGAAGCTTCCTCTCCAGGTGATCTCCTAATGTTTCTCCTTCCTCTTCTGTGTGTTCACAGGGCATCTGGATACCAGAGGGAGACACGGTGAAGATTCCCGTGGCCATCAAGACTATTCAGGACCGCACGGGGCGACAGACCTTTCAGGAAATTACTGATGTAAAAACACAATCGCTTATATACATTTCTGTTCCAAAGTAAACTATTTGTCTTTTAATATTTGCAATAAGCAAGGATGAAATAATTAAAATGGTTAAACGTGACAGTAAAGAATAGATTTCAGTGAAATGCTGTTCTTCTGAACTCTTCTCTAACAAATTAGGTACAAACATTTTTGTTTTAACTTTGATAATAATCATAAATGCTTATTGAGAACTAAATTATATATATATAAAAAAATACACTTTCCGGCCACTTTATTAGGTACATCTTACTAGTACCGGGTTGGACCCCCTTTTTCCTTCAGAACTGCCTTAATCCTTCGTGATGTAGATTCAACAAGGTACTGAAAATATTCCTCAGAGATTTTGCTTCATATTGACATGATAGCATCACACAGTTGCTGCAAATTTGTCAGCTGCACATCCATGATGCAAATCTCCCGTTCCACCACATCCCAAAGGTGCTTTATTGGATTGAGATCTGGTGACTGTGGAGGCCATTTGAGTACAGTGAAATCATTGTCATGTTCAAGACACCAGTCTGAGATGATTCAAGCTTTATTACATGGTGTGTTATCCTGCTGGAAATAGCCATCAGAAGATGGGTTATAAAGTGATGGACATGGTCAGCAATAATACTCGGGTAGGCTGTGGTGTTGACATGATGCTCAATTGGTACTAATGGGCACAAAGTGTGCCAAGAAAATATCCCCCACACCATTACTCCACCACCACCAGCCTGAACTGTTGATTCAAGGCAGGATGGATCCATGCTTTCATGTTGTTGAACGCGCAGCAGAAATCGAGACTCATCAGACCAGGCAACATTTTCCAATCTTCTATTTTCCAATTTTGGTGAGCCTGTGCAAACTGTAGCCTCACTTTCCTGTTCCTAGCTGACAGGAGTGACACCCGGTGTGGTCTTCTGCTGCTGTAGCCCATCCACCTCAAGGTTGGACGTGTTGTGTGTTCAGAGATGCTCTTCTGTATATCTCAGTTGTAACGAGTGCTTATTTGAGTTACTGTTGCCTTTTTATTGACTCGAACCAGTCTGGCCATTCTTCTCTGACCTCTGGCATCAACAAGGCATTTGTGCCCACAGAACTGCCGCTCACTGGATATTTGATCTTTTTCAGACCAGTGATTGGCTGATTAGAAATTTGTGTTAACGAGCAGTTGGATAGGTGTACCTAATAAAGTGGCCATTGAGTGTGGATTAACTAAATTGTAATTAAACTGCAGTAATATGTACAACAATATTACTGTTTCAACTTACAAAATTATGTAAAAATCTAAGAATGTGATCATAGACGTAATGTTATTTTTATTCATTTATGGTGACAAGTTACTCTGACAGAATTTTACAGCCTGATCTAGTATTTTACGTTTTGTCAGTTTAGTGGCTCGAATGAAAATGCACGATTTTAAAAAGGAGGCATGGCACCTGACCCCACCCCTAACCCCAGCCGTCATTGGGTGATGAGCAAATCATACTAAATTGTACGAATCAGATCGTACAAATTCATACGAATTAGCCACTAAATCAAAAAGTTACGAATTGCCGTGAGATTGCGTTGGAATTTTACCCATTCTTTAATGCCATTTAGTGATATTTTAGTATTAACAAACTTAATTTAAATAGTTTAGTGTTTTGTCAGTTTTTAAAGTATATCAGTTTAAATCAAGGTTTGAGGAAAAGTGCAATATTTCTTTTGAACTAGTTAACATAAAATAAGTTTAATTTCTTTACATCAGCACATACACACATTCTTGTATATATGGTTTATGAGGACTCTTCGTAGGCATAAAGCTATACTGTAAAACTGGCTTATTACATGGTTTAACCCTACTCCTAAACCCAACCCTCACATTAAACCTGTAATGTCAAAAGACCTTGTTAAATGTGATTTTTAAATGTGAAGACATGTCCTCGTAAACCCCCATAAAATAGTACAACTAGGTCAAAGCCATGTTATTATACAATTACATGTCCTTGTAAACCACATAAACCTGTACACACACAGACACACATATGAATGTATTCAGTAACACTCAAGATGATTTGTAATACCTGTGTTATTAGCTTAAGTGGTTGTTATCTGGGAATAACATACCTTGTAAAGTCATGAGTTACCAATCGGAATCAAGTATTTCAGGGAGCTGTGTAAAAATGCCACCTGCTGGCCTGTCATGGAAAACACGTTTCTGTTTTAAACAGATTGCTGCCAAGTAATCTTATCCTTAGTTTTATTGTTTTAGCACATGAATATAAGTCAACAGATTAAAGATTAAAAACCACACATGCCTAATAATGATGCCTTTTCTGTCCTGCAGCACATGTTGGCAATGGGTAGTCTGGATCACGCGTATATTGTCCGCATCCTGGGCATCTGTCCGGGTGCCAGTCTGCAGCTGGTCACTCAGCTCAGTCCACAGGGCTCTTTACTGGATCACATCCGCCAGCGCAGGGACAACCTGAACCCGCAGAGGCTGCTGAACTGGTGTGTGCAGATCGCCAAGGTCAGACACACTGAGAACATGCATGCTTTGAGTTTTACCAACATTTCCAGCACACAAAACAGCTAAATCACTGCTCGTCTGCTTCTCTTCTAGGGCATGTACTATCTGGAGGAGCAGAGGATGGTGCACAGAAACCTGGCTGCCCGAAATATTCTGCTCAAGAGTGATTTAATTGTTCAGATAGCCGATTATGGCATCGCTGACCTGCTCTATCCTGATGAAAAGAAATACTTCTTCAATGAAATTAAGGTAGGGCAGATTCTGAGTTGGTTGATCAATAGATTGCATCACACAGACAGATCGCTGTTTAATAATATAATATATTATAATAAAATAAAATATAATATAATATAATATAATATAATATAATATAATATAATATAATATACTGTAATACACAGTTCAGTGTTTGAACTCTCAGTAATGATTAAATCACACTGAACTGAGCTAAACTGAACTGAACTGAACTTAAACACTAAAACCTGAACCACACTGTTCCAGTTACTATGACCATTTATGTGAAGCTGCTTTGACACAATCTACATTGTAAAAGCGCTATACAAATAAAGCTGAATTGAATTGAATTGAATTAATATAATAAACATAATATAATATAATATACTGTAATATAATATAATATACTGTAATATAATATACTGTAATATAATATAATATAATATAATATAATATAATATAATATAATACACTGTAATATGATATAATATAATATACTGTAATATAATATAATATAATATACTGTAATATAATATAATATAATATAATATAATATACTGTAATATGATATAATATAATATACTGTAATGTAATATAATATAATATAATATACTGTAATATAATATAATATAATATAATATACTGTAATGTAATATAATATAATATAATATACTGTAATATAATATAATATAATATAATATACTGTAATGTAATATAATATAATATAATATAATATAATATACTGTAATATAATATAATATACTGTAATATAATATAATATAATATAATATACTGTAATATGATATAATATAATATACTGTAATGTAATATAATATAATATAATATACTGTAATATAATATAATATAATATAATATACTGTAATGTAATATAATATAATATAATATACTGTAATATAATATAATATAATATACTGTAATGTAATATAATATAATATAATATAATATAATATACTGTAATATAATATAATATAATATACTGTAATATAATATAATATAATATAATATACTGTAATATAATATAATATAATATACTGTAATGTAATATAATATAATATACTGTAATATAATATAATATAATATAATATACTGTAATATAATATAATATAATATACTGTAATGTAATATAATATAATATACTGTAATATAATATAATATACTGTAATGTAATATAATATAATATAATATAATATAATATAATATAATATAATATAATATAATATAATATAATATAATATACTGTAATATAATATAATATAATATAATATACTGTAATATAATATAATATACTGTAATATAATATAATATAATATACTGTAATATAATATAATATAATAAATATAATATAATAAAATATAATATACTGTAATAAAATGGGCGATGCGGTGGCGCAGTAGGTAGTGCTGTCGCCTCACAGCAAGAAGGTCGCTGATTCGAGCCTCGGCTGGGATATGTTGGCGAGATTGCTTGTTCTCCCTGCTTTCGCGTGGGTTTCCTCCGGGTGCTCCGAATTCCCCCACAGTCCAAAGACATGTGGTACATGTGAATTGGATAGGCTAAATTGTCCGTAGTGTATGAGTGTGATTGAGTGTGTATGGATGTTTCCCAGTGATGGGTTGCAGCTTGAAGGGCATCCGCTGCGTAAAATATTTGCTGGATAAATTGGCGGTTCATTCCGCTGTGGCGACCCCAGATTAATAAAGGGACAAGGTTAAAAAGAAAATGAATGAATGAATAAATGTTTATTTATTTCATTTTTACCATGACAATTTAAAAGCATATAAATATATAAAACATATAAATTTATTATATTTTTTTATCATGGCAACTCAAAAGCATGATTTTAAAAAGTAATATTTAGTAATTAGAGTAAATATTAAATAGAATATAAAATAGTAATTATATATAGTAAAATAAATAATAATTAGATAAATAGTAACTTTTTTAGAACTTCTTTACTGCAGTTTTGATCAATTTAATGCGACCCAGCTTCAAATGTGTTTTGTTTAAAAACAAATCAAGTTTCTTTTGCTCAAGATAATATTTATTTATTTATTTTTTTATTTATTATTTTATTTTATTTTATTTTATTTTATTTTATTTTATTTTATTTTATTTTATTTTATTTTATTTTATTTTATTTTATTTTATTTTATTATTTTATTTAATTTAATTTAATTTAATTTTATTTTATTTTGTTTTAATATCAACGCTGAAAATTGTCATACGGCTTCATTTTTATATAAACTATGACACACTATATATTGACAAAGTCCTTTTATTCATCAAGGACACATTGACTGATCAAAAGTGACAGTAAAAATATTTAGATTTTATATAAATTCTGTTAATTTTTTCCCAGAATCTTGGTAAAAAGCATTTTGTTGTGCTGAATAATATTTAAATAAATAAATACAGTTTCCACAAAAATGTTAAGCAGCTCAACTGATAATGATTGATAATAATGAGAAATGTTCATTGAGAAGAAAGCCAGCATATTAAACTGACATCTGAAGGATTGTGTCACTTTGGAGGAATAAATAAGACTTGTTGACCATAAGGCACTTCAAAAACAGTTCAAATCTATAAAGATAATGTTTTTTAATTTTAAACCAGTCATCACTACACTCTTCCTGACTTTATTCCTACTGTTTTGTCATTTCTAGACTCCTATAAAGTGGATGGCCCTTGAGAGCATCTTGTTCCGCAGATACACTCATCAGAGTGATGTATGGAGCTACGGTGAGTTCATGTGCTGCGAGATAAAATGTAAATGCTACACTGGAAGCTGGAGCAGAAGATTCAATAGAAGGGTTCTGTATCTTTAGGTGTGACGGTCTGGGAAATGATGTCATACGGGGCAGAGCCTTACTCTGCGATGCGACCGCAGGATGTTCCTGATCTGTTAGAGAAAGGAGAACGACTCTCTCAGCCTCAAATCTGCACCATTGACGTCTACATGGTCATGGTCAAATGTGAGTCTTCTTATCTTCCATGATGCAAAGTGACAGTGATCTCATGATCCCATAAATCTTCTAGACACACGCCATATTATTAAAAATTCATTTGGAATTTAGAATGTACCTGGAAGTCCTGTATCGGATAAAGATGATTTCTTTATCATTATGTGATATAGGATATAAGTATTGAACACGTCACCATTTTTCTCAGAAAACATATTTCTGAAGTTGCAGTGGATTAGAATTTTTCCCTGGATATATATATATATATATATATATATATATAAATCTCTATTGGCTTATCTATATTGTTCTCTGTGCAAATATTCAACAGGCTGGATGATTGATGAAAATGTACGTCCAACTTTTAAAGAGCTGGCCAATGAATTCACCCGAATGGCTCGAGACCCACACCGTTACCTGGTCATCAAAGTAAGTCAAACTCCTTCAGTTATTGATGATTTTTTTTTTCTTTTTTTTACCATGTCAATTTTAAAGCATATAAATATATTTTATTTTTGTATTTATTTTTTGTTTGTTTGTTTATTTTATTTATTTGTTTAATTTAATTGTAATTTTAATTAATGACTTATTTCATTTTGTTTTACTTTATTTAAGTTTTTGTTTGTCTATGTATTTATTTAGTTAATTTATTTATTCATTTATTATTTGATGATTTTATTTTATTTTAATTTGATTTGTTTGTTTGTTTGTTTTAGTAGCATGGCAATTTAAAAGCATACAAATATATTTTATTTGTTACTGTATTTTATTTTTTGTTTGTTTGTTTAATTTTTTTTGTTTATTTTTATTTTTTATTGTAATTAATTAATTAATTTATTACATTTTTAGTTTTTTGCTTATTTATTTTTATTTGTTTATTTAATTTTTTAATAACTTAATTAATTAATTTATGTATTATTTCATTTTTTTGTTTATTTTTTTTTTATTTTAACTTATTTATTCGTTTGTTTGTTTTAGTACTATGGCAATTTAAAAGCATATAAATATTTTATTTGTTTATTTGTTTATTTGTTTATTAATTTATTTTTTGTTAATTAGATTTGTTTATATATACATTTTTTTATTTAATTAATTACTTTATTTATTTATTGTTATATTTTTTTTTATTTGTTTGTTTGTTTTATCACCATGATAATTCAAAAGCATGTAAATATTTACTTTACTCATTCTTTAAACTGGTTTAAACCTTTAAACTGGTTTAAACCTTTACCATGTGAATTTTTAAAGCATGCTTTTAAATAGTAATATTTAGGAACACTTTACTAAATAAAGTAGTATATCGTTACTGTCACGTTTGATCAATTTATTGCAACCCAGCTTCAAAAGTGACAACTCGTTTTAAAAAAATTATCCAGCTTCCTTTGCTCAAGATAATAAAAAAATTTACTTCATTTATTGATGATGTAGCTGAATGTGTTTACATGAGTGCTGTTGGTTGATGTTCCACCATCAGGAGGAAGACAGAGCCCCAGACTCAGCCTCAGATGAGACTCATCAGAATGGTACTGAAATAGACATTCTCGGGGTGGCACTGGAGGACCAGGATGATGAAGTCTTGGAGGATGCCATAGATGCTCCACGCTATATAACACCATCTAGAAGCTTCTCTAGACTGCGTATAGATTCTCATCGGGTACGTCATATATTGTTGACCATAATCAATGCATAATGATTTGAAAGTAGAGTAATATATGCTAACATTTGAAAGTTTGGTATGGTTGGATTTGTAATTATTATGCTGACCAAGGCTGCATTTATTTGATCAAAATGCAATAAAACTGAAATGTTATTATAATTTGAAATTAGTGACTTAGTTAAAAAAATCTATTTTTTATTTTTCACTTTTTAAAGAAATCAGAACAATAAACACTTTCAAAAGACAACATAAAACAAAAAGACAGACAATATAAGTGCCATGATCACCGGATACCATCTTATTTACATTAAAAAGTTTTGTTTAATCAGATCCAGTTTTGTAAAGGGTTAAATATGAAAGATAGAAAAGCTCCAGATATATAAATAAAAGCACCCCAATAAAATAAAAACATTAAATTTTTTCTCAATCACTTTCCCCAGTATGAAGAAATTTTATAGGATTGTGGTCTTAAAGGGGTGGTCCACAGTGTATTTTTAAGGCTTGGTTGTGTTCATAAGAAAGCAATGTGTGCTCATTTTTCACTTGTAGAAAATCGCGTTATTTTTTCATACACTGTATCTTACTTTGATTATATACAGCTACTTGGCTAACATGAAAACGACTATCATATTTCCTAGTTCCTCTGAAAGCCCGCCCTCTAGAGGCTCTGATTGGTCAGCTAACATAATGTTCTGTGATTCACGGATTGGCTCTATGTCACCAGGAAAAGCATCACGCCCCTACTAGTACGCACTTTTGCGTTGTGTAAACAGTCATTCAGAGCAGCTGTTAGCATTGTTAGCTGTCTGAATCATTTGTAGCTAAATTGTTAGCAGCGCCAAACAGCATTTCCCTTTGTTTACGTCCTCGCTACAACATACCGTTAATGCTAGAAACTATGCATGTAATAGATCAATTCAAAATCCACAGCTTCGTCTATTATGGTTGGAGCTGCTCCTTCTTTGAAGAGTTTTTGCCGAATCCAGCTCTGAATTGAGAAAGATTCTAGAAGTTGTCCTGTGTCAAATGCTAGGTATATATTTTATAGTTCTCTGGAGCATAATTAAAATTAAACTGTAAGCTTTTCTCTCTTTGTGTGTCGTGTCATTTGGAAGCCCAAAAACAGAAACAGAACAAGCTCTGTGGAAATAGCAGCATTTGGATGCCATTTTAGCTTTCTCTACTACAGTACAGCACTACAGCGCCTCTGGCCACGCCCATTTGTTGCGCGGGTTGTATGCGCTTGCACATAACCTAAAAAGCTAAAAATGTCTCCCTTTGCATTAAACTTGAGCATTATACATTCAGAGATGTTGTTTATGTTCACACAGCTACATTACACATCAACTAAAGCTTCAAATATGACATGGTAGTGGACCACCCCTTTAAAGAAATACAATATCATGCCATTCACCTAGAAATGGAGGATCTTCCTTGAGTCATTTCTTTGTAATGGCCTTTTTACTAGTTGTTAGCAATGTATTAAGGAAATATGTCTCATTTTTTTGGCATTTCTGAAAAATAAATTCACAAGTGCTTAGTTTTAAAATGATTAATTATTTACATTTCCAGATTCAATCCTGTTATTGCATTAATTTCTTTATTCAGATCTTATTCAGTCTCGTGACTTAGTTTTTAATGCATTTTTAAAATAAAAGGACAGTTCAGCCAAAAATTGTCTGATTTGAAAGTTTCTTTCTTCTGTTGAACACAAAAGAAGATATTTTGAGGAATGTTGGTAGCTGGCACACATAAACTTCCATTGTAGGGATAAAAATTACTATAGAAGTCAATGGATGCCAGCAACCAGCATTTTTTCCAAATATCTTCAATTGTGTTCAGCAGAAGACAAAAAGTCAAACACGTTTGGAATAAGTGAAAGGTGAGTAAAGCATAACAGAATTTTAGCTTTTGGGTGAACTTTGCCGTTATTTTTCATTGTCACTCTTCCAGTGTTCACATGATTTTTCATAAATCCTCCTTATATATGCTGATCACTGCTCAAGAAACACTTATTATCATTAACAATGTTGAAAACTGTTAGGCTGTTTATACCAACAAAACTATTATACCATCTTTTGAAGTAGAAAGTCTAATAGAACAGCATTTTGTTTGGAAATTGTAACATTTTTATTGAGTTTTTTTTTTTTGGTCATTTCAGATGCACAATGCTCAGCATATATAACTACACCCCTCACATCTTTTAAATTTATATTTTTAATAGGAAGCTAGACAATATTATATTTGCCCATGTACATTAGTTTAGTCAGTACCGAAGCCAAATCTGGAGCTTATCTAACAAATAACTTAAGATAACGGTCCAAAAACTAGTACATTCAAATTTATGTGTTATATAATATTAAATACAAATTTTAAAAATGAGGAAAAATAAAGAGAAGCAAAAAAAAAGGGCAAACTTTGTTTAAATTTTGTAGGTTGTAATTTATTTTAGCAACATTTTGCTTAAATTTAATTGTATTTTCTTTCAGTTTCTAAATATGTTTGGTGACTAAATTATTATTTTAATAAATATATCTGTTTAATAAATCAGTTTTGTTTAAATGCACCAAAATACATTGGCTATATTCACTGAGAAATGGACAAAATATTAATTTTCAAAATGGGGTGTACTCAGTTATGCTGAGCACTGTAATTGACATTAATTAGAACAAAACAGTAAACAAATAGGAAAAACTACAAGAAGAAAAATATTATTATAAGAATAATAATTGTAATACTATTAATACAAAGGGAAAAGTATAATAATACATTATACATAGATTATCTTATAGCGACCCACGAATTCATCTTAAAATAAATCTACACATAAAAGAGGGACAAAAAGAAAAAATTGTAAAGTTTAGTAACACAAATGTCTTCTATCTCTGTAGAGCAGTTTATTTCATCCAAGTATTAGTTTAAGTATTTTAAGAATTTACATTTCTGACTCCAAACTTGAATGGCGATGTACATGTTCAGACGATCTGTGCAGGCTTTGTGAAAGCATGCATTAGAATACTCTATATTTATGACACTTTTCTTTTTATTGTGACACCAGTCAAGTTTGACTCCATCCACTACTGCTGGATATCTACCTATGACTCCGGGTCTGGAGAGCTCTGTACAGGTCAGTGCTTCACCAAATCATGCCTAACTCCTTTTAATGTTAATATTATTAGTAGTATAATTTATTATATGAATATTTAGATTTGCTTCAATAAAGACAAGTTTATATTTGTCCACCTGTCAGGTTTTGGAGCATATACAGTACATCACCACACTCTCAGAAATAAAGGTGAGCTGTCACTGGGGTGGTACATTTTAAAAAGGTACAAATTTGTACCTAAAAGGTCTATATTAATACCTCAGGGATACATTTTAGTACCTAAAAAGTACAAAAGTGTTCCTCTTAAAATTTTTATATACTAATATATACTTCTGAGGTACCAATATGAACCCTTTAAGTACAAATGTGTACCTTTAGAAAAAGGTACCACCCCAGTGAGAGCTTGTGTACTTTACTTCTGAGAGTGCCTATGGGGCATAAGAATAGGACGTGTGTTTGGTTTTTTGACCACACTTCATTATTATTGTTTATTAATCGTTTGCTGGAAATTAGAACTGAATTTAGAAATAGTTTTGAAACAAATCTTTTGTGCTTAAATTGAATTAAATATGTAGGCTAATGGATGTCTTTAGTGGAGTCATACAACACCGTTTCCTTACTCCACAAAAGTAAAGGAGTAAAGAGTAAAAGTAAAGAGGCCAAATGGAGGAGGCTCATTCTTTATCCTCGCGCTGCAGATGGTCTGTTAAACTGTTTTCTGGCTAGTGAAGCATTCAGTTTTCCACTTACAAGGTCTGTCATGTAAATAACAAATGCGCCATGACTCAATGCAACTGACTCTTAAAGGGAATGGGGGATGAGACTCTGATTGGTTTAATGCACATTGTGCTCAAAACACACCCATAACTCATTAAGAGAATAAGCACAACCCTGGTAAACCATGCGCCATGGTGCAAACCATATTTTTCCATCCTTAAAATAGCAAAAGTGGATTTGAACACGCTCTTAATGCTTTTGTGCTTTAGACTTTGCGCCTAGATCATTAAAATAGAGCCATATATATAAACACAGTTAACCTGCAGTTATATAGTGTATAGATGATGTCTATGTGTAAATGTTACATACAAAATATTGGCCACATTTCCTCAATATATTATTCACCTCGTTTGCTGTAGACTGGATGGGCGTCTCGGTCCCGTCTGGACTCAGCGTGCACTGTTTCTGAGAGCTCGGAGGGACGAGGAGCGCTGGAACTGGAAATGAATGACGACTTCTCATCCGTTGGCAGTCTAAGGAGGGTCAGACATCGTGAAGACAGTGCTTACATGTCACAGCGGGACAGTCTTTCAGGACCACCAGAAACAACCTCCACAGGAACTCAAGGAGAAGAAGACCAGAATGAATATGTGCTGCCTGGATTCGGTGAAAGCCCAGAGAAAGGTTAGAATTAACTTATTAAAAGGGGGCGCTAGGGGGTGGGGGGATGGAATTGTGAGGATGAAATCCAGCTATTTCAATAACAATCCATTCAATCAGGAGTTTTGCTTGAGAGCAAAAGTTTTCCTTGTTTACGTTTTGTAACATACTGTAAGTTAGTCACATAATTTTACCACTATCACCAGTTAAAAGTGCTTGATTTTAGAGTTATTTTACATAAAAATGAAAATGTTATTATTTTTATTAATTATTCCCCTTCATGTCATTCCAAATACCTGAGACATTTTTTAAGCTTCAGAACACCAATGAAGAAATTTGAGAGAAAATCCAAGAGCTCTCTCATCCTTCATAGATCGCAATGGTCTTGAGACATTTAAAGTCTCATGAAAAAAAAAAGAAACAACATTGTCAAAACATTTCATGTGACTTCAGTGGTTCAACTGTAATCATATGAAGATCCAAGAACACTTTTGTGTGCCAATAAACTGTAAAAACGACTTGTTTGCCTGTGCTCTTTAGTGTTTGAACTCTCAGTAATGATTAAATCAAACTGAACTGAGCTAAACTGAACTGAACTGAACTTAAACACTAAAACCTGAACCACACTGTTCTAGTTACTATGACCATTTATGTGAAGCTGCTTTGACACAATCTACATTGTAAAAGATAATATACAAATAAAGCTGAATTGAATTGAATTGAATTGTTCTCATCCGTGCCGGTCAGGGTGCATGTTTACTATGGGCAATACAATGCTTGCATGTTGTGCTGCTGACTCTAATGACAATAGATCATAGGTTCATTAGTTCCATTCAGAAGGGTACATCACTATGCCCTAACCCCTTCGGAAGGTCTCTCTGAACAGATAGGGATGAGCCCTTCCAAACTGAGTGCAGTCTATGATACCAAACAATTCCCCTGCTCAAAGGATCATGGCAGCTAGCTCGTCGCAGCTAGCTCTCTGCAACTCTCACATGGTCACTCACTGAAGCTAAGCAGGGCTGCGCCTGGTCAGTACTGGGATGGAGACCACATGGGAAAGCTAGGTTGCTGTTGAAAGTGGTGTTAGTGAGGCCAGCATGGGGCGGTATACGTGGGTTCTAATGCCCCAGTATAGTGAAGGGGACATTATACTGCTCAGTGAGCGCTGTCTTTTTGGATGAGACGTTAAACCGAGGTCCTGACTCTCTGTGGTCGTTAAAAATTCCAGGATGTCCTTTGAAAAAGAGCAGGGGTTTCACCCTGGCATGCTAGCCAAATCTGCCCACTGGCCTCTGTCCATCATGGCCTCCTTACCATATCCATATCATAATTGGCTTCATTACTCTCCACCAATGAGCTGGTGTGTGATGTGCGGTCTGCCGCAAAATAGCTGCCGTCGTGTCATCCAAGTGGATGCTGCACACTTTTGGTGGATGAGGAGATTCCCCCTATGTGTAAAGCACTTTGAGTGTCCAGAAATGCTCTATATAAATGTAAGTAATTATTAATTATTATTATTATTATTATTATTGCAAAATCCTTCATTCCAAAATGCCCTTTGAAGTGGCCAGTTTCGAGCACTTTGGTATGAAATGACACTTCAAAATGGCAGCCCTGATTTTTTTCACTGTGAAGTGTCCTTTAGAGGTTGATGTATCCTGATATAACTGGCCATAGTAAACAATTTTACTGATTTATGGTGCACAAAAGTTTTTTTGGATCTTCATCTGATTGCAGTTAAATCACTGATTTCACGGGGAATGATTTTACAATGTTTTTAGTTCATTTTCTGGACTTTGAATGTCTCTGGACCATTGCTGTCTATGGAGGATGAGAGAGCTCTCATAATAATCACATCTAAAATATTTAAATGTGTCTTCTGAATATGAACGAAGGTCTCAGAGGTTTGAAATGAGTTGAGGATGAGTAATTAACGACAGAATTTTGGTGAACTAACCCTTTAACATGACTTCATACATCATAATCCCATTGACAACAACTTTGCCTGCAATATTTGTCCCAGTAACACCATCACACCTTTAGAAAAAAAACAACAGCTTTAACTCATGCATAAGGGCCATTCTTCAACTACGGGCACTTTTAGCCTTGTGAAGTTGAGTAAAAAAACTTGAAAAATGTACTATCATAGCCTCATAAGTTTAAACTAATTGTCTAGTTTTAAGATCTGTAAGTGGACAACAATGAAAACTGATTTTGACACGTAAAAGGAGGTTAAATAATATGAAAAATATATAATAGAAAGCTGGTAAATTTTTTAAAAACAGGCTTTATTGTTAGTTTAACAAAGAAAGAGGAATTTTGAACAAAATTATATATATTTTTGGAAATATGATCAAAGGACATAAAAGTGCCCGTAGTTGAAGAATTACCCGTAAATAAGCTTCCATACTTATAAATACCTACATGAACATTTTTCCTTTTATGGTTTTCTTTAGAAACTCTTCTGTTCACATCATCACGTTCAACGCTTTCTCAAAAGAGACTCTCGAGAGGTCATTCTGGAGACTTTCTGGAAGCCAACAGAGGTGCTGGTGAAGAATACGAGTACATGAACAACCAGACGCTCTCTCTCAGCCACATACCAGGACAGCTAAAAGAGTACAATCAACGAGCGCCACGAAACCGCAGCGCCTCCTTTAACCCTGGCGGGATGTACAGCAACCACAAACCCAGCAGACCTAGTAAGAGGTCATCGATCGAGGGCTCGGAAAGCAGCGGAGGACTCTCTCAATCCTCAACTGACCAGAGGAGTCACAGCGATGGAGATTTCCTCTCCAGTGAAGCAGAATACACAGATGGGGATCTGGAGGTGGAGTACGAGTACATGGACATCCGTGGTGCAGGAGGACCAGCAGCAAACATGCTGCTCAAACTTCACCTCCCGAGACCCGTTTCCAATCCTCCTCTCAGAAGATCTCCAGAAGATGATGATGAAGATGAAGATTATCAGTACAGCAACCATCAGCCCCGGTTGAGAAACTCGCTCAGAGTGCAGGGCGGTGGAGGAGAAGCGTATGAATATGAGGATATGGACTCACTGGCTGCAGGCGGAGCTTCGGGAGCTGAATATCAGAATCTGGATGGAGAAGATGAGGAAAGGGATGAAGATTGGTCTGGAGGACCTCGTAGCCCGGGACCGTATGTACAGGTGCACGCTGGGACCAATCATAATGCTTTTGATAACCCTGATTATTGGCACAGCAGATCATTTCATAAAACTAAAGCTGTCCGCACGTAGAAACGGAAACAGCTTGAAGGAACTTCATGCAAATGATCAAATGTTCTGGATGGTTTTCAGAAATGCACTTCATACTGCTATGAGTCCAGGGGAAAAAAACTGATGCGATGTATTTTGATGTAAATTGTATTGTTGTTGTAAAATAATGGGGCATTAAAAGGTTAGTAGTGCTGTTAAAATCAACAGTGTGAAATCAAAATGGACAATGTTTATTTTGCTAGCGCATATTGTTATTCCAACCTGATCTCACGAGGAAACGTAACTATTTTACGTTGTGTCAGTTTAGTAGCTAATTCGTACAAGTTCAGTCTTATGAAAATGTACGATTTTAAAAAGAAGCCCACCCCTAAACCCAACCATCATTGGGGGATCAGCAAATCGTACTCAATTGTATGAAAAACGATTTTATACAAATTAGCCGCTAAATCAATAAGTTATGAATTGGCGTGAGATAGCGTTAATCCAATGCATTTGGAGTGATGGTGCTTCTGTTGACGTCAGGTCAACCACTCACACATTATTTTTAACCATGCCCCATTTGCAATTTATATAAGGGAATGATGCGCAAAATGTAAGCCCCGCCCCCTTTTCAATAGTCCTTTTAAGTTGAAAGTACATCAACTTCCGGTACGCGCAGACTTTAAACGAGTAATCGTGACTTATCGCATACAAAGCTAAATTTGCAAGTGTGATTATTATGAATATATAAATACATCTATGCGTATCTACATGTATAGAAAATGTTTGTTTATATTTAGATTATTATAACCCAAAATTATATATCATGCTAGAATATATGAAAATTAGTATATACACATGCATATGAGTACATTTGTATTGTCACGTAAGTGTTTGAGACAACAGAGGCGAGGATCCACGTGCGGTTTATTAACAAGCATAGTCAGGCAGGCAACAATCAAGACTTGGGGAAACAGGAACTTGCAGGAAATCCTGAATTGTAGTCAAAAGCAGGGCGAATGTTAAGTACAGACAGCAAAGAATCAAGTTAAATCGTAAAACAAGGCAAAGATCAAAACAATGGAAGGCAAGACGAGGATAGCGCTTGCGTGATGCTCTAAACATAAACAAAACAGCAACGTTGTTCTTCTAGTTTTATGACTGATGCCGCGGTCACGCTAGAGTTTGAACATGCAAAGTTCTGTCATACGGCACTGCGAAAAGGGGCGGGATTAAAGAAGAGGATTAGACATTTAAAAAAGTGAACGATTGGTCCATATTTTAAATTTCTGTACAGAGAGGTCATGTTTTGATCTTTGATTGGTCTCACACAACCACATGATGCGATATTGCAGGTCAGAGTTCACCAAGGTTGAACTTTCTAAATCAGCCAACTGCAAAACTTGTCGCACGAGCTTGCATTTCCAGTCTGTCACATTAGCGTGCTTATGGAATGGAAGTCTATAGGGAGAGAAGTGCAGCGTAACCCCGGCATAATAGTGCATTACAGCCTTCTATCTTTCAAATGGACCAGACACTCCTGATTCCTGATTGACCTACATACCCACAGACAATCACTCTTGGTTAAACCAGTAACTGGTTCAGAGACTTCATTGAGTTTCCTCCTTCCACCCTTAGTACTCTTGGTGAGACTCAGCAACAATGTGTGTGTGCTGTGTTTATGGTGCATCTAATTAGTCCTGAACAGCTTTAACTGTGTGTGTTTGCAATCAAGGCCAGGTGTGTGAGTGAAGCGCATGATGGGATTTGTAGTGCAGATGAATGTGAGTGTTTTCCAGCAATCTGCAAGAGCAACACTACTGGTGATCATATGCATAATAAATATACACAATACACACACACTTATTATGTACATACAACTTTTATTTTGTACTTGATTAGTCACGGTTATTGTTAAACAGCGCTAGTTGAAATAGCATAGCAGCTTTGTTCTTGTATATATATGTGTGTGTGTGTGGTGGTGGAGGTACTAGAATGACCAGATGCATAGCTACACGTTGAATGCACTGATATTTACATATGAATGAATGCGTGTGTGTGTGTGTACGGTACGTGTGCGGTGGCTGTCAATGTTCTGTCAGTGCCAAGTTTGTGTAACTCATCAAGCCATGTGTTTGTGGATTTAAAAGTGAGTGTTGTGCTAAATATGTTTTTAGTGTGTTTATGAAGTGCCCTATTCAGCCAACAGCTGTTAATGCTACTCTATATGCTAAATCACTGTGCATCTGTTCTTTAAAAACAATGTAATGTTTGAAAAGTGTCAAATCTGTTGTATATACATGTGGAATTTATACGGTTATCATTTGATGATGCTAGTTGAACAGCATATTTGTTGAATTTGGGTTGACTTTTTGCTTTGAGAGGTGTTGTCCGTGCCTTCTGAACAAACCCTAATGAAGTACTTGTGTAACGTTTCAAATGGAATGGCCAGTAAACAAGCTTTTACAACAGAACTATAGTTTTGTACACACACATATCAGACTAAAGTATTTTCTAAACTTTGTAATAGATTTTTTTATTCACTGTTTGTTAACTACTTGTATCTTACACTTTTAATAAAAGGTTTGTATATAAATATGAATCAACATTTGAAACCTTCACTTTCAGACATACACCCTATTTTATGTCTGTCATTTATTCATTTTCTTTTGAGCTTAGTACCTTTATTAATCCGGGGTCTGAACTGCCATTTTATCCAGCACATTTTTTATGCAGCGAATGCCCTTTCAGCTGCAAACCATCCCTGGGAAGCATCCACACACACTCATTCACACTCATGCACTAAGGACAATTTAGCTTACCCAATTCACCTGTAGCACATGTCTTTGGACTGTGGGGGAAACCGGAGCACCAGGAGGAAACCCGCTCCAACGCAGGGAAACTCCACATGCAAACTCCACACAGAAATGCCAACTGACACAGCCAAGGCTTGAACCAGCTACCTTCTTGCTGTGAGGCGACAGCACTACCTACTGCTCCACTGCATCACCCCCTATTTTATTTATTTCATTTGGTAGTGTCACAACACATTATTCCTTCAAATTCTTTTCGGCTTAGTCCCTTTATTAATCTGGGGTCGCCACAGCGGAATGAACCGCCAACTTATCCATTATATGTTTTACTAAGCGATTGCCCTTCCAGCTGCAACCCATCACAGGGAAACATCCGTACACACACATACACTACGGACAATTTAGTTTATTCAATTCACATATACCACATGTCTTGTAGGGGAAACTGGAGCACCTGGAGGAAACCCGCTCCAACGCAGGGAGAACATGCAAACTCCACACAGAAATGCCAACTGACCTGGCTGGGGCTCAAACCAGCAACCTTCTTGCTGTGAGATGATTGCCTATATTAAATTAGTTATTATTTAGTTTTTATATTTTTTGGTCGATGGCTATTTATTTTATTATATTTATATGTATTTTAATTAATGACATTAATATTTCTATAATCAATCCATATCGCCAGCAAAGCTTTAAAGTAGGACATTTTAGTGTTAAATCATAATAAAGTTTAAAAAAAACATGTTAGCAATAATATAAAACAAGCAATTATGCCAAAAGATACTAGTAATATGTTAGCAATGTGCTAAAATGCAATTGCCATGTTAAAATATGCTAGTGAAATGTTAGCAATCTGCTAAAACATGTTACCAGCGTGCAAATGCTTTGCAGCATGTCAATAGAGCAATAGAGCATGCAAATACTTCAAAAACTGAAAACCAAACTTCCCTCGTGAGGCACATTCTCAAACAATGTTTATCTTGGTAAACTTTTAACATAGATAAACTATACAAATTGTGCTATTTTTCTTACTGATTGCTTATTAATAGTTAGTTTTTTAAATAATTATCTTATTTAATATTTATTAATTTAATAAATGTATTATTAATTAATTAATTTATTAATTTTATCGTTCTATTTATTTATTTTTATTTATTTTTTTTTTCTGTCAGTACTGCTTGTGAATGTTCAATCAAAATGCCTGAAAAGGTGTAGCAGTGGTTACATAAAGCTTAATCTTACTGTAGAAGCGTATTGGACCAAAAATTAAATAATTAATAAAAAAGGGGAAAAATACTTTTCTGGAAAGTATCCAAATGCCTGTCGGTTTTGGCGCCATAGAATATGACGACACCTCTGACGCGGCTGCGTAGTGGGCGTGGTCACGCAATGCGTGGAGGTCGTGGGCGGAGCGGCACGTTCGGTGAGCCGCCTGGTGGTAGCGTGACTGATTACTGCTGTCCGTTCACCGTACAGACTCACAGAGAGCCTCTTCCAGAGCCGGTGCAACGATGTCCGACGACGAGCAGCAAGAGCAGACCATCGCCGAGGACTTGGTCGTGACCAAGTACAAGATGGGCGGTGACATTGCCAACCGTGAGTTTGACGTTTTGAGGTGTTGAGTGGCTGACACACGGGCCTCCACGCCGCTTCTCATGCATGCCATGTGTTGGGACGAGATGTGCAGCGTGGGTCGACAGATATCTATCTGTTCCGGAGCTGTGACCTTACGCAACACACAGCTGCATTAAACCTCTTTTAAATGCACGGCTGTTCCTCCGGCGCGTGTCTGTAAAGCACATAACATTACACTTTAGTGCAGTCCTACATTATGGAGGTAGTCATTCTGGAGCTAATGCTAGCTAGCATTAGCCCTCAGTGCATGTCAGGGGACACTTGTGGCTCTCTCGTTGCCAACTGGTGTGTGTTAGTCCTCAAAGGCGTGTGTTACTAGCTCGACTAGTGATATCCACTGCTGGCTTACTGGGGCAGAACAGCAGTCCTGTGTCAGCAGTGACAATTCTGGAGATGCTGACGGGTTTTTGACTATCTGTACCGAGCAGCTGGTGTCAGTGACTGGCTCATTGTGCCTATTTACACTGTGAACTTGAATGGTTGAGCTCCATTATTGGCTCGACAAGGACTAATAGTTCTGCCACATTAGTCTCAGAATTTGTTATTGATATTTTGCTTGTATTAGTTAGCACTTGTTAAATAGATTTCTAATCTTGTGATGTTAGTACTTAAATATTTTCAGGACCCTAATCACTTATTTTTAAAACCTTGCAATAAAGCCTCATTAGTAAATGTCTAATAATGCATTAGAATCAGGAGAAATAACCATATTATAGTTAGATAAAAATAGTAGTAAAGTAAATCCAAACCAAACTTATAAAAATATCTCCATTTATTGAGATGTTTACAATTAGTTTTAATACTTCATTAGGCATTAACTAAGAAAGGAACATCACCTATTAATAATAAATTCACATCTATTAAGTCTTCAAGCATTTGTTGCTGCCGAAAGCACTGGCAATATCACAATCTGAACCTTCATTGAAGGCACTCTAAAAGCTTAATAAATAATAATTCACTGTATCTTGAAGTGCTCATGACATCATTATAGTGCATGTTCATTATCACTATATATTGAGTTATAGAATATCAGCATGTGCTTGCTTCTTGTTGAGCTATGCTTCACACTTCACAGCCATATCACCCTGCAGCCCATATCACCCTGCAGCCCAAGACTGTTTACTCTCTGAAGCTAAGCAGGGCTGAGCCTGGTCAGTACCTGGATGGGAGACCGCATGGGAAAAACTAGGTGGCTGTTTTAAGTCGTGTTAGAGAGGCCAACAGGGGGTGCTCAACATGCGGGCTATGCCAGTCCTAATGCCCTAGTATAGTGAAGGGGACACTAAACTGTCAGTGAGTGCTGTCTTTTGGATGAGACATTGGGGTCTTGACTCTCTGTGGTCATTACATTTACATTTAGTCATTTAGCAGACGCTTTTATCCGAAGCAATTTACACAACTAAGAGCAACAATGAATAAGTGCTGTAGGCAAGTTTCAGGTCTGTAAAGTCTAAGAAGGAAAGTATTAGTAAATTTATTTATTTATTTATTTATTTTAGTACAGTTAGTGGTAAATCCAGCGAGGCAATTGCAGATTAGGAAGTGAAGTGGAGACTAAATAGTTGAGTTTTTAGTCGTTTCTTGAAAACAGCGAGTGACTCTGCCGTTCTGATGCAGTTAGGGAGTTCATTCCACCAACTGGGCAGATTGAACGCGAGCATTCGGGAAAGTGATTTCTTCCCTTTTTGGGATGGAACCACGAGGCGACGTTCATTCACAGAACGCAAGTTTCTGGAGGGCACATAGATCTGCAGAAGTGAGAGCAGATAAGAAGGGCCAGAAATCGCTTTGTAAGCAAATATCAGAGCTTTGAATTTGATGCGAGCAACAACTGGCAGCTAGTGCAAACGGATGAGTAGCGGAGTGACATGTGCTCTTTTATGTTCATTAAAGACCACTTTAAAAATTAAAAATCCTATGGCAGCTCTCGTAAAGAGTGGAGGTGTAACCCTGGTGTCCTGGCCAAATTCCCTAGATCATCCCTTACCAATCATAGCCTCGCAATCATCCCTATCCACAAAATTGGCTCTATCACTGTCTCTCCGCTCCCCCTATAGCTGGTGTGTGGTGAACGCACTGCCGTCTGTGTCCTGTGGCTGCGGGTCGCATCATCCAAATGGATGCTGCACACTGGTGTTGGTGTGGAGAGACCCCCCCCCCCCCCCCCCTTCATGATTGTGAAGCGCTTTGGATGTATGACCATACACGATAAATGCGCTATATAAATACACATTACATACATTACTTCACTAAACAGTAAAAACGAAAGGTTGGACTTTGAAATTGCACCATTACACTTGTATATTATACTTGAATGCATTGTGTTGTGTCTGTAGAGGCGTTGAGGGCGGTCATCGAGGCAGCCAAACCAGGAGTATCAGTTCTCAGCCTCTGCCAGAAAGGAGACGCTTTCATCATGGCAGAGACTGGGAAGATCTTTAAACGGGAAAAGGACATGAAGAAAGGTGAGACCTAAATATACAGCGCACAGCATGAATGAGTACACCCCTATTAAAAAGCTATCTATACAGGGTGCAACGCTAAGGATTTTTTTTCTACTGGTTCGATCAGGCCAATGGTTCAGATTTTTAACTTGCCCTGCCAAAATTTTCACTGGCCCCACCAAAGAAAAAATAAAATTTTATAGCAATTTTAAGCCACATATTTTAAACACTGTGTCAAAACTAATGTCTATAATTATTTAAATGTTAATAATTATTCAAATAATGTATTTAAATAAAATTTAAAAGTTTTAATAAATGTATAGTGAGCAAAATCTTGTGTTAGCAAACCAAAAAGAGCAGTAAGGAAGATGGGTGTATTTTATTGCAGTTTAAAATTATTTAACAAAACGCGGCCCCAATTGGGGCAGGAATGATCCTGTCTACTGTCTCAAGCGTCTCTCACACTGGCAATCGAGCAGTCCCTATTGTTGAATACTGATATATATTAGTCCAGTTCTCAGTGAATATAGTCTATAGCCCCTTCACACAGGGATACCGATAAATATCCTGAAAATTTCCGACTTTACCGGTAAATTCAAAAAAGCGCTGTTCACACAGGCGAGGACGTTACGGAATTTTTCCGGAAAACAGCATTCACACATCCATCGCAAAATGCCGGTAAATTCTGACATCATTAACCAGAAATGAGCTTTAAACGGCTGCGCTTGTGTTTGTAAACATTTGACTACATTTAAAACTCTTCGGATGGATCAGTATTGAGTACAACTCCAATGAAAACATAGAGAAACACTTTCGCATGTCGAGATGTTCATGATATGTGTGTGTGCTGGCGCTATGGGCGCTCAAGGGCACACGCAAAGCTTGAAGGTAAGCAAACAACGGATTATCATAAACATTTTATCGATAATTATTTACACAGTTGGCATTAAGAAGGAACATAAAAATGTTATCTGACTAACATCTAGCAGCTAAATGTGTCTGGAAAAATATTTAAAGGCTTTTATTCTCATAAACCGCGCGGACGTAAATGCGTCTGACTGTTCTGATTGGCTAAAGTAGACGTCTTACGTCAGCACGTTCTAGACATGTGCACGCGCGCTCTTTCCGGCAATCTTCCTTCTGCATTCATACATCGCAGCATTCCGGCAAATTACCGGTAATGTTACAACTTCTCTTTCCGGAAAATAGCCAGACTGAATTTACCGGTATTTTCAAAAAGGGCCTGTTCACACATACAACCTTTCCGGAAAATTGCCGGTAATGTGTATGTGTATGTGTGAAAGGGGCATATATCAGGGGTGCTCAACCCTGTTCCTGGAGATCGATCTTCCTATAGTGTTCAGCTCAAACCCTGATCAAACACACCTGAATCAATTAATTAGGACCTGAACAGCACTTGATAATTACAGGGAGGTGTGTTTAATATGGGTTGCAACTGAAATCTGCAGGAAGGTCGATCTCTAGGAACAGGGTTGGTCACCCCTGGTCTATATAGTTTGGTGCATTTAAACATTCATTCATTCATATTCTTTTCGGCTTAGTCCCTTTATTAATGTAGGGTCGCCACAGCAGAATGAATCGCCAACTAATCCAGCATATGTTTTACACAGTGGATGCCCTTCCAGCTGCAACCCATCAGTGGGAAACATCCACACATACTCATTCACTACGGACAATTTAGTTTACCCAATTCACTTTTATCACGTCTTTGGACTTGTGGGGGAAACCTACGCGAACACAGAGAGAACATGCAAACTCCACAGAGAAACGCCAACTGACTTAGCTGAGGCTCAAACCAGCGACCTTCTTGCTGTGAGGCGAACGTGCTACCCACTACGCCACTGTGCTGCCCTGCATTTAAACAACGCAGCTTGATTAAAAGGTTATATTCATCAATTTTCCAGTTTGGTCCACTGAACATCATTGGAAATACAAGATTTTACATTTAAATTTTAAATGAGAAAAACAAATGGGTACAAACTACAAAATTTTAATTAAAGCTGCAAGCAGCATTGAGGGGCCCCAACCATCGGTGGCTTCAGAAACACAGTGCACAACAGGCTAGAGCTGGAGATCTTTGCTCAAACCCAATGAGACTTGATGAGTCCTGACGGGTTCAGTCAGGTTTGTGCTTAATGTCTATCATTTTACACTGTAAATGAGCGTTTATGTGATGCATTTCGATTTGCGTTTGTTCCCCAAACATTATTAGTAATAGAAAGATAATACATTTCAATTTACAATGAAGTGTTACGAAAAAAGAATTACAAACTCCTAAATGGCGTAGTGGTTAGCATGATCGCTTCACAGCAAGAAGGTTGCTGGTTTGAGCCTCGGCTGAGTCAGTTGGCGTTTCTGTGCGAGTTTGCATGTTCTCCTTGTGTTCATGTGGGTTTCCTTAGGGTGCTCCGGTTTCCCCCGCAAGTCCAAAGACATGTGCTATAGGTGAATTGAGTAAGCTAAAATTGTCCGTATTGTATGTGTGTAAATGAGAGCGTATGGATGTTTCCCAATGATGAGTTGCAGCTGAAAGGGCATGCGCTGCGAAAAACATATGCTGCATAAGTTGACCTCTGATTAATAAATGGACTAACTTAAAAAGAAAATGAATGAATGAATGATTTAAACTCCAAAATTTTACCTTTGGGTGCAAAAAACTTATCGATAATTATCGAAACTGAAATTTGTTGTCAACGAATGGCGTTATCGATTAATTTGGCTGCTCACATAACTGAGCAGGATATTGACGAACATGCCCCCCCAGTCCTCCAAGGCAGGGGAGAATGTTATATTAAATGCATCTAAGAAGACTGTAACATGCCCGCTATTCAAGACAGCTTTCATGGACGGAAAGTAGCTTACCATAGTCGTCATCATCGTGTCAAAGTGGTATAGTTGAAGTTAGATTAGTTAAATTAATGATCTATTAAATTAGATCAGTTCAGTTGCTACTCGTGAGTATAACATAGTGATGATTCATTAAATGACGCTACTTTAACTAAAATTAAGCGCTGCGAATAGAGTGAGACACCACATATTAAAAATCAGCATGTGTGACAATTAGTCAATGTTGTGGTTTGCAGCGAATTCTAATAACGTTCCATTTTGCACTGAGCAGTGGAGTATGCCTGCTCTTCTGATTTCTATCTCAAAAATAAATATATATTTATTATTATTATTATTATTTATCATTTTTATATGTGAACACATTGTGCTGCTTAATATTTTGTCAGTGTGTTTATTTTAATTTTCTAATGTGAATATAGTAGGAGTACAGCACCTGTTTTGCTTTTTTATAGATTTCTTTTTCGTTTCCCCCAAACTTAGTTTCTCATTAAAGGTTTTAAATGTCAAAATTAAATATAATTAAACTCCATTAACAATGTGGCTTTTGCATTTTTTTACTTACTTTTATACATAAATACTACCCTGATTTACTGTTTTATGGATTTATAAGAAGCAAATTGTCAAATAAAAAAAGACATTTAGTTTTTATTCAATTAATCACGAAAGAAATAATCACGCAGCTTATATATCGTCAAAATAATCGTTAGTTGCAGCCTTAATTTCAACAACATTTTTAATCTGTTTTTTAATGTTTCTCTTGATTTAAAAAAAAATCTTTTTTCTTTTTATTTAATTAACAAAAATATTTTACTCTAACAGATTCATTTAGGTGTACTATTTTTAAGTTATATGTTTTGACAGTGATTAATCTAATGTTGTATATACACATATTATTGTAAAGCATCCTGTTGAAAATCTGAATTTCAAAGCGAGATCTGAGAGGGGTGTACTCATTAAATTCTCGTGGTTCATAAGAGAGCGAGTGGGCTTCATAGGTGTGCAGGTTTTATTTGAAGCGTCTCTCTCTCCTCACACATTATGCAGAAGGTCTTTTTGTTGAGGATTGGTGGTTGTCCTTTCTTGCAGGTATTGCGTTCCCCACCTGTGTGTCAGTCAATAACTGTGTCTGCCACTTCTCTCCCCTGAAGAGCGACCCCGACTACATGCTGAAAGATGGAGATTTGGTCAAAATGTAGGCAAAACTCCTCCAGCTCGTCTGTCTAACCTCCCTGTGTCTTTTCCTTCAGTCTCTGTCCTTCAGTCCATCTTGTATGCAGTTGTCCCTCAGTGATGCATCCCAGTGCCGTCTCTACCCCTTCTTGTCTTCCTGCTTGTTCCCTTGTTTTCTGTGATCCTCCACACATGAAGCTGTTTGTTTTTTAGACATACAGATGACATCTAAAGGATTAGCCCTCTATCAAAATTTTGATTCTTTTTCAAATATGTTTGACAGAGCAAGAAATTTTTCACAGTATTTCCTATAATATTTTTTCTTCTGGGAAAAGTCTTATTTCTTTTAGTTTTACTGGAATCGGAACAGTTAGAAATATTTTTACACTTTTACACACAGTGTTATTCAATAACTTGCTTAATTGTTCTTACCTGCTTAACTAACATAATCTAGTTAATGTCGAGTTCAGTCTGCACGATTTTCCACTGCATGACTTTTTGGGGTAGCATTCCGTTGATGCTGTGTTTACACTGAAAGATGTATCGGCAACAGGGGGTTTCACACTGCATGACTTTACAATAGGAGAATAATTACTATTTGAGCTAAATACTAGTGTCTTGCAAAGTAAATAGTAAAATATTATGTACTCTCATCATGGCAAAGACAAAAGAAATTAGTTAATTAAAATATTACATCTAAAAATCTACTTAATATTTGTAAAAGAATAAAAATTTCACAGGAGGGCTAATTTTGATTTCAACTGTACATATTTAATAAGTGGTGTGAGTGTTTTAATGTAGATTCTGTGGTATAATAATTATGGAATGTGTTTTTATAGATGTAATTTTCTTTTTCAATGTGATTCCTCTTAGAGCAAAATGCTCAATGTTTTCCAATGGACCCTTTTCACATGTCTAGAGTTCTCCCAAGTAAAAGTCATCAGAGTTAGTTCACATAGGAGTTTCATTGACTTTCCCCCTGGCTGTATGTTTTTATTTTTCTGTATTCTCTCCTAAATTTCTCTCATTGCTTTCAACAGTGATTTAGGAGTTCATGTTGACGGCTTCATCTCTAATGTGGCCCATAGCTTTGTTATTGGAGCTACTAAGGTTTGTGTGTCTGCCTTAATATTTATTCTCTCGCTGTTACTTCTGTTTACATAATATAAGCAACATTTTATTTTGTCAAATCCCTCTCAAGCCTGCTTTTTTTACACCATGTGCCTAACCCAGAGAGTTTTTTACTCAGTGAATACTTTTGTAGAAATCTAAACACAGTGAAACCTAATATTATTTTAGAGTTTTTAGAAAAAGTCTATTATAAACGTCAGATTTTTAGTTTTAGCTCAATTTTCTTGCCATGATTCCGTCATTATTTACTCATCCTCCACTTGTTCCAGACCTGTTTATTTTGTTAAGCACAAAAACAGAAATATGTCGAAAAATACAGCCATTGATTTTTTTTTTTTAGTATTTTTACTTTTTTCTATGGATCTCATTAGCTTTTTTTTCTTCATCATTCTTCAGAATATTGTGTGTTGTGTTCAACAACAACAACAAAAAAAAAATTAATAAACATTCAGACCTGCTTGAGTGAGTAAATGGTGAGAATTTTCATTTTTTGGGTAAACTATCCTTTTAAACCAACTAACAAACTTCATGGTATTATCTATGATAGATTTTGGACGATACTTTGTCTCCATTAATTCGATCACATCACAATACAATATGCGGTGCTGTTTATTTATATTATTATTTTTACATTTGCCTTTCTACAAGTATTACAATACAATTTTACAGTGTTTTACAGATTTTCCCATGGGTAAATGTTGACTCGTCTTCTGTTTTTTCCCACATGCCTGTAAATTACGCTGTTATGGTCAATGATCTCCAACATGGCCTTACTATTTATTTTTTATGGTTATTCTACAATTTTCTAATACTAGCTTGTTTCCTCAACTGCATAGTGTAATAGTTGAATAATTAAATGTGATGTCAGTTTATTCAATATATTATTTGTGACTGATTGTACATTATCACCTGCTTTCAGGAAGCACCTGTGACAGGAAGGAAAGCTGACGTCATCAAAGCAGCACACCTATGTGCAGAAGCAGCGCTGCGTCTTGTTAAACCAGGCAACCAGGTTAGTACATTACCTCAAGCTAGAATCAGAAATGAACATGGTGTCCCCATACATTCAACCTAAAGGCCAATTAAATGAAACTATTACGGCTATACTGCGCATTTTTGGCTCCATAATTAAAAAATGCACCAAACAGTAAAGCTTTTTAGCAACTTTGACAACGTTGGCGGTCAGCTCTTCAATGTGAGTGAGCAGAATAGACAGCTTAATGTTAATATTAATGAAGTGATGGTCTGTTTCTCATGCAATGTCTTTTGTCTTTTCTGCCTGCCCAATTTACCTTGAAGAACACTCAAGTAACCGAGGCCTGGAACAAGATTGCCCACTCATTCAAGTGCAATCCAATTGAGGGTGAGTTTTGGCTGATGTTTCTTTTGGTACAGCCTGACCAAAATTTAAAGATTATCCACCCAGAAAGCAGTTTGAAGGTGTGGATTGTATGAGTAAACACATTAATTAATATAATGATTTGAAACAAAAAAACTTGATAGATATCACATAACTGCATTAAAGAACCAGTTTAAGAAATGTTATCCTGCAGAAATCAGAGTATTTTTTTAATTAAAGTTTATAAAGACAGTGTTCATACAGTCATGGAAAACCTGCAAAAGTCCTGGAATTTTGACATGCCATTTTCCAGGCCTGGAAAAGTTTTGGAAAAACAGAAAAACCCACAAAGTTTTGGAAAAGTGATGGAAATTAGTTTAACAAATATCTGTATACTTGAATTAGGGCTGCACGATATTGGAAAAATATGACATTATGATATTTTGTATTTCTGTGATGTATATAGCGATGTGAATACAATTTCACCAGATGATTTAACAAGTTTATTTGGATTGATTGGGGGGGAATTTTGTAGAGGAGTGAATCTCGAATAATACACAACAAACAAATTACAAGCAGAGATAAATAAAATATAGTAAAGATCAAAGTGAATTCTAGTTTTCAGGTATTTACTATTCAACTACAGATATTGAATAATCAACATTGCATAGTCTTCCTTTGTACATTATTTAATCTTTATTAAAGTTTCAAAACATTTCTTGTAGCCAGATGTTTCAAAATTTGAAATATTGAAATGTTCACACAGTCACAGGCCTTAAAGAGACAGTTTACTTAAAGATTCAAATATTTACTCACACTTGTTTCAATACTATAGGAGTTATTAATTATATTGTTTTTGTGTTCATTTAAAAAAATGAATGTTTGAAACAAGTGATGGGTGTAATGAGAATGGTATGTAATTTCTGGCTGAACTATCTCTTTAAATATGCATGCAGATGATAAACTTTTACTCCATTAGGATTTAACTCCATATTAAACTATAATCCCAACATTGCATATCCTGCGATGTGACTATTGTGCATGCTCACATTGCATTATCAATGGTGAAACAATACATTGTGCAGCCCTAACTTGAATACAGGTTAGTTGTCTTCTTTCCTTGGCCAAAAACTTGCTCTCACATTGTTAGTGTTGCGTAAGCATAATCAAAATCAATATAAAAACAAATGTTAACAAAATAGATTGTTGCGTGTTCTATGATGTGCTGTAATAAATCTGAACGTCGTTGTGTTTCTAATTATTTATCATGTATATGTAGACATTACAAGAAACATTACGTTATGAAAATGTACCTGCAAGTTGTGGAAAAGTCATGGAATTTTAGTAGTAAAAATGTGTACGACCCTGTAAAGAGATGATGCTTGCATACAAGTAAGTCTTGTCAGTTGGGCATTTTAGTCTTTTAAGGAAATAAATCTAGCTTTTATTCACATAACTTTGGTTATTGCAAATACATGGAGCACTTTAAAGACCTCCTTACATTTGGTAATAAAATCTGATCAAGTAGACTGCAGTTAGTGTTAATTGGTGGATTTCAATTTTGCAGTTTGGTTTAAAGATGTAAAAAGCATTCTGTTCTGATTGCAGATTAACTGTTGTTATTTCACTGTTGTCTTTCATCTTAATGTGTAAACTGCACACATTTATTTTGCAATGTTGTATTGAAAGTTCAGTAGCAGCCAATATGTATACCTGCAAAAAACGCCCCCTCAAAAAACTAAAAGTTGGTTGAAAGTGTATGAAAGAGACCGATTCCTTGATCACCCTGTGATCCTGCTGGTCATTTTAATTGAACACATATTAACATTAGAACATGTTTCAGTTATGAGTGAAATAATCACACAAAAGATGAAAGGTGTGAAGAACTCGATGTACCTGCAGAAATCAACAGGAATGCCTGACTTTCTGTGTGTGCCATTATTCAGTGTTTCTCTTCTGTTCATGGATAGGTATGCTGTCCCATCAACTAAAGCAACATGTGATTGATGGAGAGAAAACCATCATCCAGAATCCTACAGATCAACAAAAGTATAAAAGACAAACATTTCAATTTAAATAAAATGTATTATTATTTTTACAGTTATTTTATATTTGCAGGTTTTTATGCCACCACAGAGCTTGGTTTATATTTTTCTGCTATTAGTTTATATACAATATCTCCATGTGAATAATCTGAAGGCAGGAAAAAGTATTTTATTCCCTTTAAATTTTTGTTTTTTAGAAGTAAGATTTTAGTCTAGTGGATTATTTTACGGGACAAAAAATCCATGTGGGGTTTGATTGTATTGAAGCAAGCTATCAGCTAAAACAGCCTTGCAAACACATGTACTAAAACAGTATTAGTCAGCAGATTTTAAAGACAACTAGACAAGATTTTTATACTGAGAGCAATTTGGATGTGTTTAAAAATGTGTTACTGGGAATAACCAAGTAATTTATAATATATTGGACTGAAAATAATCCTATGTAAGGTTTTTAATGTAAAATATATAACTGTTTTTCAATTATGAAGTACATTGTAAGTTGTTATTATCATGTATTATACTTTTACCTATATTTATTTTGTCAAGACTAATGTGGCAATTTATTTTGGCAATTTATTTTGTCAAGTTGCTAATGTGTCAACAAATAAAATCAAAAAATAATTTGTCATCAAATTTGCATTGACTGGCTTCTGTTGGTCTGGTTACAGGAAGGACCATGAGAAGGCAGAGTTTGAGGTTCATGAAGTGTATGCTGTAGATGTGCTGATCAGCTCAGGAGAGGGGAAGGTGAGGGATAATCCTGCCTTCTCTCAGCTTTATTGTTGTCATCTCATAGATGTGATTTGTGTTCAATAAAAACAACTGGAATATTTAGCTTGTCTGCTCTCTGTCATAGGCTAGAGATGGAGGCCAGAGGACAACCATCTACAAAAGAGACCCCAGCAAGCAGTATGGGCTGAAGATGAAGACCTCTAGAATGTTCTTCAGTGAGGTGGAGAGACGCTTCGATGCCATGCCCTTCACTCTCAGGTTGGAGACACTTTTCTTCAGTTCTTTCATTAAAATCAGGTCGCTAATATAAAGGCAGAATTATATAGTCTGTTTGTCTGTGAATGTTTAGTTTGACTAGAAGACACTGAACACCTTTGAGAAGTCTTTGATATGATGGATGCAAGCTTGACTCTGAGGATGTCATTTTTGTTGTCTACTTTAAAGGTCCCATGAAATAAAAAAGTTTTTTAGATGTCTATATCAGTATTGTTTTTAGGATATTTACAAGCTAGTGCGCACTAAAACAGTGAAACAATTCAGGTTTAGAAGATACAAATATGATATAAACATGTAAAGCTTGCAGTTTGTCACTTCGCCTAAATGGATCAACGCTTTTTTTTTCATCACCTCATACTTCAGTTTCTCATCAAATCGTGACCAATGAAATGCTCTCTAGTATCTGACATGCCCCACCCCCTTTAAGACACTTTTCATATGATGCGTTTGAGCTCAACTGATCTCACTAGTAAAATGGTGGTATAACATAACACTATTGGCTGTTTTTTTTAAGAAAGGGAGGAGCTACACCGTCCCGCCCTCTGCATGTTTCAGTTGAGATTGGCAAACATTAAATAAAAGATTTCAAATCAGGCTATTGCGCCAATGTGATCTTGATATTTTAATTGTTAGTGTTACATACCAATGTTTTTTCAATGAAAATATACCAAGTGAAGTTTATTTATAAACTAATTTTGAGAGGATCACATGATTATGATTGAACACAGCTGGTTCTGCATTAGCTACGTATGATCCACCAATCAGGCCAGTCCTAACCCACTATAAAGAGCCAGGGTGTCTCGCTAAAGCCATCTTCGATTTGAAGAATTCCCCCTTCCACCCTTCTCCACCTTTCCCTTCATAGGGCGGCACGGTGGCCCAGTGGTTAGCACTGTTGCCTCATAGCAAGAATGTCACTGGTTCAAGTCCTTCAACAGACCGGCGGTCGTTTCTGTGCATAGTTTACATGTTCTTCGTTTCTAAGCATAGTTTACATGTTCTTCCCGTACTCTCATGGGTTTTCCTCGGGTTCTCCGGTTTCCTCACACATTCCAAAAACATGCACTACAAGTGAATTGATCAATGTAAATTTAGCACTATAGTCAAACTCTCATCCTGCAGCATATCTCTTCATAGCATTCATTTTAGTCATCAGCTCTTATCAAGGGGGGAGTTGTCGAGATCTAGCCGAGCTCAAATCTCCCCTCTCACCCTGCAATCAGGAGGGAGCCCAGGGCTCTCTCCCGGGACAGCATGCCAAACTTGCTTATAATCAATCATCAGCTAAGTGTGAACTCTTGAAATACTAATACCGTCATCTCACAATTTAAGATTGTTTGTATGCTCACAGATTTATTCTTAGTCACAAACACAAGTGAAATGCTCACACCGAGCCCTGATGTTTGTCATGTCATGGAAATTCTAAGAGAATGATGTAGTGATGGACAGCTGATTGAGATGTCAGTGTAATTGAGTGTTGGTATCCTGCAGGGCGTTTGAGGATGAAGGAAAAGCTCGTCTTGGAGTGGTGGAGTGTGCCAAACACGAGCTCCTGCAGCCTTTCAGTGTGCTCAATGAGAAAGAAGGTCAGTCTTAATATCAATTTAGTAGTTTCTCTTCATTTGACCTCTTTGTTTACTTCCACAATTGGTAAATCGTTGTTTCCACCTCTTCCTTTAGGTGAATTTGTGGCTCAGTTTAAGTTTACAGTGCTACTGATGGCCAATGGGCCTTTGAGAATCACCAGTGGACCACTTGAAGCAGAACTCTACAAGTCTGAACATGACGTTCAAGATCCTGAACTGAAGGTATACAAGACCCATTTATTCTGTTTACATTCGCAGTAATAATAATACAGTTAGGCTGGCACGGCCAGTTAACGGCAGTTAGCACTGTTGCCTCACAGCAAGAAGGTCGCTGGTTTGAGTCCCAGCTGGACCAGTTGGCATTTCTGTGTGGAGTTTGCATGTTCTCCCAGTGTTGGCGTGGGTTTCCTTCGCGTGCTCCGGTTTCCCCCACAGTCCAAAGATATGCGCTATATAGGTGAATTGAATGAACTAAACTTGCCGTAGTGTATGTGAATGTGAGAGTGTATGGGTGTTTCCTGGTACTGGATTGTGAATGGAAGGGCATCCGCTGCATAAAATGTAAGCTGGATAAGTTGGCGGTTCACTCCGCTGTGGCAACCCCTGATAAATAAGGGACTAAGCTGAAGGAAAATGAATGAATAATACAGTTTTTCCTACCATGATGTTTCCACTTCTTTATTTTCAGTCTCTGATCCAGAGTTCTGCAAGTCGTAAAGCACAGAAGAAGAAGAAAAAGAAGGTGAGGCTTCATGTTGTCGAGCATGTCTGGCTTTTTCTGACCTAAAACACAAAACATGGTTTGATGGCCTTTTTTCATATAATTTATCATACATACTGTTAAAGTCAGAAGTAAAACAAACAAGACTTTATCCAGATGAAAAAATATTATAGGAAATACTGTGAAAAATTCCTTGCTCTGTCAAACATCATTTGTAAAATATTTGAAAAACAAATTCACAGGAGGGCGACTCATTTTAAATTCAACTGTATACTGTTTGTATGTGATTAAAGTGAATAGTAGTTGTAGTGTGCATTTATCTATCTCTCCAGGATTTAAAAAATATAATTCAATCTGATTTTGTGATGTTTTATCAACCTGTGGCATTGTTTGCTTCAATTATTGTGTTTTGCTGTGAAAACACACAAAAATCATGTCAAATGTATCTCTTTTTATCTCAAGAACTATTGGAGTTGCAAAATCCTGGAGGGACTGACTTACACACTGAACTTTTTATACCACGATCCACTGGATGCAATAAAACTGAATTACCACCACTATTGCGCTACACAAAGAAATTCTAATGTTCCATTCATTGCACAATGTAAGATTGTCCAATTCTGTTATTCAACATGAAACATAGTGTTAGTCTGCAGACAGGAAAACAGATATGCAGATTTAAAGTGTATACTGTCATGGCGTTTTGTTTAGGTTGCATTATAGTGTTGTCTCTATACTGGAATTCAGTACTAATCGATATTGAGATTTTAAAAACGTCCATTTCCTGCTAACATTTGAACCTGTTTGAAAACATCGCTGATTTGCCATTGTGTTCACGTGCTCAACAGAAATGTCTGTGATTGGCCGTGAAGGTCATCAGTTTACCAAACTCACCACTGTTTAATGAGTGTAACAACAGATACAGAGACACTGGAGCGCTTTAAAGTCACGTCGATCAGCTGCTTTGTCTATAAGCTGAGGTACGGTCAATCCGCTGACGAATCGTGTCTTTAAAACGCTCCAGTGTTTCTGTATCTGTGTTTACACTCAGTAAACGGCTGTGAGTTCAGTGAACTGATGACCTTCTCGGTCAATCACAGTCATTTCTGTTGAGCACATGAACACAATGGCTGTTTAAAGAGCCCCTATTATACATTAAAAGGGGTCATATTTTGGTTTTAAAGGTCTCCAACAACAGGCTGATATGCATGCAAGGTCAAAAAACACTTTCATGGTCTTATAATAAGCATTTATTTTTACCTAATTATCCTAGTGACTCCCATATGAATCGTACAGCGACTCATTTGTTCATAAACCCCTCCTTAAAAGCTAATCTGCACTGATTGGACCAATGACAGCCTGTTGCGATTGGTCGACAGCGCGAGACAGAGTGAAATACCCACCACGTCTTATCAGCAATATTGAAGTAGTCAGAGTGCTGAGTGTATGTATGAGCATGCCTGCCAACACTCTTGTTTTTCCCGGGAGTGTCCCGTATTTCAGCCCATCTCCAGCCACCCTCCCATTTTGTTATTTATCCTGGAAAACTCCCATAATTTGAAAACCCATAATAGGGGCTCTTTAAGAACATGCTCAACAGCACTCACATGTTAGCAGAAAACGGACGTTTTAAAAATGTCAGTATCGACTGGTACCGAATTCCAGTATCCTGACAGCACTATTGCATAATTGAACACCACCAGTTCATAGTCTGTATTCACTTTTCTATTGCTTTTGATTGCAGGCCTCCAAAACTGCAGAGACTGCAACAGGCCAACCAGCTGAGAATGAAGTTGCAGCCAAATAGAGGCAACTCAAGCCTCTCAAGACCCCCACCCCCACCCCTGACGAGCAAAAACTCCCAACATTTCTCTCCGTTTTACCCTCATCACTCATTCGATCACGAGCCACTCTTAAACCTGTGTTAAACATGTCTGCCTCCCCCCATTACGGAGAAACGCCACTCCACTACGAATTTGTATTTTCATAATGAATCTATTTGCCATTTTGAAGCACTCGATTTGCATTTCAACTGGAACGCAAAGCCTTTTTCAAAATGTTATTAAAAAAGCTGCGCAATTCTTTTGTAGAGTTGCGTTTTTCACAACCGTTGACTGTTTGAAATGCTTTGTTTGGCCCTAAGGTTAACTTAAAACCGCATTACGTTTGATTAGATTAAGTGGTTCGAGGCCGATAATTCAATTGCAGCTATTTCTCAGGGTTTCAAAGATGAAACAATCTTCTTTATCTGAGAAGTAGGATCGAGAATAGCTTACAGGGGCATTAGAAATCAAATTGAGTATATAGATTTCCTCATTACATTTGTACATCTGAAGACGACTCCTGAATACTGGAGAATTATTTGTTCATATCTTGTTAATCCCGTTCTTCATCTTTTAAAGTGTGGAATAATTTTGTTGGTGCAGGGCTGTTTTTCCAAACAAATCTGACATATTATTAATTCAACTTAGCATTAGAAAGTCTGATTTATCATGGGTTTGCTTTAAAGGTCTGATCTAAAATACATCTGAACTCGCTGAAGCTGAGTTATTACTTCCTCTGGACAAGGACCAACACGTTATCACTTTACTTTTACTGAGCAATAGAGTGTCCGCTTGACTGAATATTCAGATCAAAACTAGGCTCGGACTGGATTGTAAAGCTTTTCAGGCATTATTGTTCAATCCAGTCAGTGCAACAATTCCAGAAGAGGTGATGGGAAGTGGTTCTGTAATATTTGACTTTTTCGCAGGTTTGGTTGAGGCTCAGTAGATCGTCCGAAATGTTGGTTATTGTGACATGCTTACAGAGTGTAAAGGTTTGTGTGGGAGAGGAGAGTGGAGGTTTGGAATCGACACGATCTTGTTTTTGTAGTACAAACCATCATATGGGACTATTTTACAACTAATGAAATAAAACATAACTTTGAATATAATTTCTTTGAAATTGTCATTATTAATTGAAGAAATGTACACACTCGGGACCTCTGCATGGTTTCTTTTTTATAATAATAATCCCTTATGTTTAAAGCAATTTTCAGGGAACTCAGCGTTTTGCACATTTTTACGAAATGACAGGAGCATGCTGGAGGGTTTGTGTCACTATATTCTATTCAAGGCAGATAATTCTATATCTACCGATATGGTTCAGTGTCCAGCAAAGAGATCTTCTTAGTGTTAAAGTAGATCTGATTAAAGCTGACAGGTGGCGCTGTTTGGCCCAGACTAGCAAACTCATGTTGAAGTTTATTCAGTTCATTGGTTAAAGATTTTAAATTGTTTTATAAATACAAACAGACAATTATTGAAAACTATTTAAGAGCACTGGAAAATATAAAAGCAGAAGTGTTTCTCAATGAAAACGTTTCAATTTTAATTTACTTTAAAATACAACATTTCTAATAAGTATAATAATATTAATATCTCTTACATTTATAATACTTTTTATAACCAACCTTTATATTATTTATATTTAATAACATTTATATAATGTTAGATCATTTTGCAATACAAAAATAAACGTCAATTAAATTTAGAGTTAAAATGTCTTAATTTAATCAATCACAAAGTGGCGTTTTAATCTTTTCCATAAAATTACTGGTATTACTGTTATCAGTTTAAGGTTACGAGTAAAATTACGGATATAATCCTTCATCATTTACCATGTTTTTACACGAATCGTGGTTTAGAGTCGGATCTTTTGAATGAATCACTGATGAATTCGACTCTGAATTAATTCGAACAAAAGAGAAACATTACATAATATATTGCTGCAGCTTTATTTTACAGCCTATATATTAGACCAGATGTAAACTTTAAAATATTTTATGATATTTACCCATCTTCTGTGTTTCTTAGACTTAATTTTGATCACAATAATTGTACATTCTGTGAGGTTAGCATTGAAACAACTTTTATTTTTTGACTTTATGTAGCACAACCATAGACTGTAAAATATAGAGCAGAACCTTGGTCTGATTCGTTCGAGTGGTTAAGTTTCTCAAGTTGTCCTCTCTATTTTCAAAAAAAGTATATTTATTTGGCTTATTAAGGGAAAATATTAATATTTTTTTAAAAAATTATATTTATAAATGCAAGTGCCTTTAAACAAAACCACTGTTTTTGGTTTTCCAAAAGGAATTTTGGTTATACTGTAAATCTTTAAAGTTGGTAAAAATCTAAATTATGAAAAAATGAAATTAATAGAAGGCCCTAAATGTTTATTTGTTTGTGTGTCTATTCTGTTAAAAAATTTTTTTGCATTATCTTATTGATTTGATTATTATTTGTGCTCTGTTCTGTAAATGTAGATAAAAGTTTAATTTTACCTTATTGTATTTGTGTTATAATGTATAATAATAATTAATATAAGACTTGTCAGCATTTGTAACCTGAAACAGATAAAAATTTATATAGAATAAAGTTAATTTTGAAAGAATCGATTTGTAAAGAATAACAGCATCATCAGAAAATCAAGGAAACTTAAATCTTTGTGAGATTGTAAACGTCAATCTTAGATAGGCATTAGAGATTAGATACATCACTTGGTTTTATAATAAGTTTTCAACTTGTATTATGTTATTTCGCATATTATTTTTAAACACTTCTATTTGTAAGACATTTCTGCTCTTATGCTTGTACTTATAATAATAATATTTTTTTTATTATAAAACGTCCTGTCCTCGCGGCCTTGCAACCAATGTATTTCTATGGATTCTGCTCCCGCTAGAAGAAAGCTTGCGTGAACAATCACTTTTTGTTGGGGGTGTAATGGTAACAAACCAATAGCTTGTGGTCAAGGCCCGTTTCAATCCAATCCCCGTTCCATCAGGATCTCAGTGGGTGTGACCGAAGGGGCGGGCGCAGCAGAATGCGATGCTGAGTTCGGTTGAGGAGTTCGGAGAAGCGGCGGCGCTGCGGACGGTGGCATCAGTGCAAAGGGGCGAAACAAGGGAATATTTGGCCGACTTTCAAAATAACTGGATTATAAAAACTGGACGCGCTGGATAGCCACTCATTCATCTCTTCGTGCACGTAGCTCTCATCTCTGACCGCCCGTGGTAAGTTTATGCGTCTTTTCAATTCGCCTCAGCTTTTTCCTCCGTTGCAGTGTAACGGATTATTTTTCGCATTACTTTTCAAGCAACCGGGAGAGCTCGCGCGCTAACCCACGCTAGCGAGTTTGTTATTGCGGCTGTTTTAAACAGGGATACAGTCCTAAATGGTACGGTTGTTAGCCGTTGGGTGGTCACGGGCTCCATATGTTGGCTAAAACACTTATAAAACCGTTTGTCCGCTTCGCCACAGGCCATATAACGGGAGATGGTGATGATGTTGAGGAGGAGGAGGCGCGTGCAGCTCCCGGTTTGAGCACGCGCTTGGCGGCCTCAGAAACTTCAGCTCGTGCTGGAGAATATTGTGTCCTAGCTAACAGTCACTTCGTCCCATTAACGATATAACGTTACAAATGTAAAATATCTGTCGGCAATTTTAAGTTATTTATGAGAGTGACCGTTAGAAATGCGTTTTTTGAGGGCGTTATCATTGAATGAATTTTTGAAGGACTAACGTTATCCCGGCCCAGGAGTCTCGCTTCAGTTTACCGGGCATTCATCTCCCGTATAACGGATCTCGTGTTTGAAATAACAGGCATGACCTATTTTTTGCCATGCTTGCCTTATTTTAGCTTTATATTTCCTCTGTGGGAATTACAGTAACTCCAGTTGTAGGCCAGACCATCTGGTTTTTGAATTTATTGAGTTGTTTTTTGTTAATTCCACTGTGAAGAGCCACTCAAGGTATATAAATTAACAGATTAAGCCTAAATCATCTGGCATGTGTGGAATGAATGATACAGAAGCTGTTTACATAATTTTTTTCTGCTGTGTGTAACTCCTACTTTTGGATTTCATCTTCAAACATCGAGCTTGAGGGGTATTTCACATATGCACTTTTTTGTATTTTAAGCATTTATCAATTTCTTAAAATGAGAGTTGAATGTCAATATTAAAAAGACAGATCAGACACCCTAAAATGAAAATTTGCTGTTTATTTTCACATCGTAATTTCATCCAAGATGTGAGCAAAGAATGTTCAGAAGAACATTCAAGATATTTAGTAGCAAGTCAATAGTTCTCGCACTTTGAGAGGAAAAAATACACCAGCACAGCTAAATTAATACCTGTGGAGGCTGCAACCTACATTCAAAGATAAGAATACATCAATGTTTGTGATCTTAGAGATTAATTCTCTCAGATTTCCAGCATGTTGCATCAGAAAGCTTGCTCTCTATGCAAAATCTGTGAATTGAAGGTAAAAATTATGTAAATATTCTTCAGTTAATTATCTGATTGTCCAAGACCTTAGTTTTATTAGTATGTGTTTTGCCTGTAATAATGCCAGTAGTTTCAAAATAGTGGTGCCAATTGACTTTTGATATTTTTTAAAATCGCAATGACCACGGTATCAGTTTAAGATCTTTAATGTTGTTTTACTCAGAGAAAAAAAGTCACTTTAACAGTGTAATGTATTTATGTAAATGCTAATCGAACATTCCCTATATCCCCGTAAATATTAATAACCTTTATTTAACTAGGTAAGTCAATTGAGAACCAGTTCTCATTTACAATGACGACCAGGCCAAGAGGCAACATGAAAAGCAGATACAAAGCAGTAGGGACACAATACAATAACAATTTCACAAATGCAGATAATAACATATAAATCCAACGAAAAACTAAAAACAAGCACAGTGATCTTGAACTACTGACTGAATTGAATTATTATAAGACGATGGTGGAATGAAAGTGCTGGGCTTTGAGTTCTGCTGGAGATGATTCCAAGCATCAGCAGCAGAAAACTGAAAAGAGTTACGACCAAATAAAGTGCGAACTTTGGGTATGCAAAGGTTAATGAAACCACTAGAGCGCAGATTTAAAAGTGATTCCTGAATGTTAAGAAGTGACTGTAAATATAGTGGAGTTTTTCCAGTGAGAGTTTTGTTAATGAACAGAAACCAATGAATTTGTAGACGTGATAGAAGAGAAGGCCAATTCAGTAAGGAATACAGTTGACAGCGATGAGTATTAAATGGCGCACCAATAACAACCAATTGCTGCATGATAAATAACATCCAGTTTGCGAAGAAGAGTTTTGAAGCTGATCGGTAAATAAATCCCCATAATCGAGAATTGGTTATACTGTTAATTTGACCAAATGCTGCTTTGAAGAGCGACTAAAGGAATATTTGTTTCTGTAAAGAAAACCAATCCGAGCTTTAACCTTTTTGAGTAAAACCAATTGACCCTTCGAAATGTCATATTACATAAACCCTCAGTGAATCTCTGTGCCTTCAAATCACCAAATAACACTCTAACACTTTTTTTCAGGTGGCCTATTTTTAGTTCCTCATGCCGGAGATGGCGCAGCGGAGTGGGCAAGAGGACCCTGAGCGGTACCTCTTTGTGGATCGGGCCGTGGTCTACAACCCAACTACCCAGGCAGACTGGACGGCCAAGAAGCTGGTGTGGGTTCCTTCTGAACGGCATGGATTTGAGGCGGCCAGCATCCGAGAGGAGCGTGGAGAAGAAGTGCTTGTGGAGCTGGCTGAAAATGGCAAGAAGGCCATGGTGAACAAAGATGACATCCAGAAGATGAACCCGCCCAAGTTCAGCAAAGTGGAGGATATGGCTGAACTCACCTGCCTGAACGAAGCATCTGTGTTACACAACCTGAAGGATCGTTATTACTCTGGACTCATATACGTAAGTGGGATTGATATTTGTGTGATTTCGATTTGTTCTCAAGCTGAGCATTGTAGCCAATCACACATTTCTGTCGTGCTCATGAATTCAGCAGCCAGTTTTGGTGTGATATTGGTCACTGCATGAAAAACACTGGATTTTTGTTGAATGCTCATGCTCACAGCAGGGATCTCTAGACCAGGGGGCTCAGGCCCTGTTTACACTAGTGCGTTTTAGTTTGAAAACGCATACGTTTTGCTACGGTTACGCCATCCGTCCACACTACGCCGGAGTTCTCGAGCGCCGAAAACGGAGCTTTTTGAAAACGCTGGAAAGGTCGTTTTCATTCTAAAACGCTGCTGCTCCGTCTCAGTGTGGATGGGGAAAGACGGAGACATCTGAAAACAGAGGCGGGGCTGCAAACGTTCGCCTATCTGATTGGGGCTTTTCCTCAATATTAAGTAGCCCACACACAGTTCAGTCTCGCATCCTCATCTTGTAAGTTAAGACTTCGCAAGTTTGATCAAGGCTGCAGTCTCCCCCTTCTCAGTTTGATATGGAAAACATACCGAGGACACGGGTAAATCTTCAAAGGGAACAGTGTACTTTATAACTTCATTCACATCACCTTGGCTACGTTGTTTCACTTTCTCAACAATAAAATGTAAACATGATTTAAGGAACTGCCTATTTTCTTTTTAATATTAGCAACTTAACAGACAGCAGAAATGTTGAGGCGTCGTGCTGCATATATGAGCGTCATCTTCACTGTGTGGATATTTATAACAAAACGGAGCCTATAACAACTGCCTCCTTTCAATTTGAGTGAAAATACGAAACGCACCCTCTCTTTTGCTGAATATCAGTTTTAATAATCGATAATTATAAAAGTATAACATACAATAAGTTTATACATTGTTGGAAATAAAGGCAAGCGATCAGTCAATGTACCTGGATTAATCATTAACTTATCTTTGCGCTTAACCAAAACATGTTACACGTGAACAAGTAACTTAATAGATTCCAATGACCAAAGTCAGAGAATTGGCCTTTGTCGTTAGATAAAGACAACAACATGAATGAAATATCACGTTTAGCAAATATAGTGAGATTAGATCCAGCGGGAGATGCTTGATGAGCAGTCCGACAAGCAGAGCTCTCATCTGGGTAGAAATGCTGGAGCGCTTGCCCGAGAGAGTGTGTGTGTTCACGTGATGTGCGTTTTCAGCGTTTTGGTGTGGACGGAGAGCAGTTCAGAAACGCTGGGTAAAACGCGAGTGTGGACGCGGATCGTTTTCATTCTACAACGCCGTTTTAAAACTAAAACGCACTAGTGTAAACGGGGCCTCAGCCCTGTTCCTGGAGATCTAACAGCCTGCAGAGTTCAGCTCCAACCCTTATCAATGATAACTAAACCAACTAAAGGCTGATTTATACTTCTGCGTCAAGCTCACACGTATGGTTCGGCACAGCCTTCACACGCTCCCATAGCTCTCGCTGTGGCCAATGCTGATGTGCACTGTAATACCCAAAAGTTACCATTTTCAAATGAAATGAGTGTAGTTAACTCAAAATTGACTGAAAGTTAATTCTACTCATTTGAAGAGTTTTGAACACCGTGTTGAAGATAGTGAGTTCATTAAATACCTCATTACTTTAACTTAAATAAAGTAAGTTCACAGTACTCCTATAGATTAGTTTTTAACTTGAATGGTTTTTAGCAATCGGTTTCCTCAAATGGTTTGAGTTGCCTTAACTTGTTGGGTTTTACAGTACTCCGTTGGTTTGAGTTCTCTTTATTTAATGGGTTTTACTGTGCTCAAATTGCTTCATTTACTCAAATGGAGTAAGTTCACAGTACTCATCAGGATTAGTTTTTGAACTTAAATGGTTTGTTGCAATCGTTTTCCTCAAATGATTTGAGTTACCTTAACTTATTGGGTTTTACGGTGTATGAAAAAATTTAACTACATGTCACAACGACACATATCTCTGTCTGCATATCAATCTGTGATTGATCGGCTTGGTAGCTGTGACGAGCGTTGGCGGTGCTGAGACCACGAGCCTGATGGAGCGATTATTTACAAGTGTGGAGTCCCATAATGGAGCTCCAAATGAAAACTTTTGTTTTGTGTTTACCTTATGATTAGGGTCGCTAATAATTCAGGAGGGCAAATAAATCTGATTTTATAAATGCACAGGTTTTTTCCTCCCTGTAAATAAGGAAGGAAATAAATGCAATAGAATAAAATATGAAACAAACTGTGCTTTAAGCATCTTCACTATAAGAAAAAACTTAAGCTACAAAAGCTCTCCAGTCAAGAGCAGTGAGGGATTTTCTCCTTTTGTTGTTTGATTAATAATAAAAACAGTCGGAAGCAGGAAAATTGCGCACTGTCACTTTAAGAATAGATTCTCTTTTACGTGTCTTTTGATTCTCAACTTGTTTGTTTGTTACACGATGAGGGTGAATATGAATAATCACTAAACACCGCTCTCTGACACAAATGTGCATGTATTTGACCGTTAAAGCGCTCACATTGAGATGGCGTTAGATGTGTGTGCTCTGCTCGTCGCCGAGGCTAAGCGCGTGTACACACTCAGAAGCATGCTATGCGGTCCCGTTCACGCTATTAAAAATATGAATGATTTGAAGTGAACGTACATCAATAAATGATGCACATCTCGTGCTGCAAACGTTACATTACAGCACATGCTTTAAGTCATTTTCATGTGAAACTGAGCTTTGTAGAGCAACAAATGTGTACAACTGTCACTTTCTATAACAGAAATTTATTATTATTTTTTTCCTGAGGGGTGATTTTGAATTGACGGATGGGGCCGGATCAAATGTTCTCACGTGCCGGATGGGGCCGGATCAAATGTTCTTAGGCCGGATGTTCCCCACCCTTGGTTTAGTTGAACATTAAAAAAGATAATGTGAAGAAAGCTGAAAACCTATATCCAGTGACGTCAATAGTAATATGAGGGTGCTTTCACACCTGTGAATCGATTCAGTTGTTCCGAAACAGAGATTACAATTGTTACGTTGTTGCTCTTTGCTCTTGGAGCGGTTCACTTTCACACTGAAAAGTTTCTAATCGGACCAAAAGAGCTAAAACAAGTCACATGCGAGTAAACTCTCCTTACATTGGTCAGAGTGTCAGGGTTTATTTTGCAGCGTTCTGCTAAGCTGTCAGGAGAGGTGGTGGTTTGGTGGTGATTGACAGGGTGTGGCGCGCGACGTGTCTGAGGAGAGACGCGGCGGGGAGGGGTGAGAAGGGTGCGCGACGATGCCTATTTGAGGACCGGGAGGGAGATGCGAGATTAACAGGAGATCCTCACTCGTTTGCGGGCATCCGGAGACTCGCGAAACTTCCTGCCATACTCATAATTCTCTCTCTATATATAGCCGTATTCCTATTACATATCCATAAAACACTGTGATATAACCGCGCTCGGATCGGATCGCTTTCTCACTGCAATCGAACCGCTCCAGGGTTCGTTTCAATCGAGCGGAGACCACCTTATTCATGCGGTCTTGGAGCGATTACTTTGGTGCCGAACAGAGCTTGATTGCCCTGTTCACATATGCCAAACGAACTGTGCTAACTGGGCAAACGAGACACGTTCCGAAACAAAAGTGTAGGTGTGAAAGCACCCTAAGAGTATTAGTTTTGGGTGAAAAAACAAATTAATTTAACTTCATATTTACCATTACTGGAAGTTTTTCAGGTCATCGATGTCAGAGTTCGGCTGATTTGGCCACAATTTTAGATGTTAAAGCAGTCCCTGTTGTCATTTTACATGGATTGTAATTCTTGTTCTCTGCCTTTTTTTAAGCCTCTGTTCCATGTGGCCGCTGTGCTCCCTCCCTACAGGCTACAGTAATTGGCCATAGAGGCCCATGCTTGGCCTAGTAAAAGCAGAAGCTTTATAACAGGACCTTTGTGTTTGGCATTGCGCAGGCTCGTAATATCTGTGAGATGTCAAGATGTCAGACTGACTGTTGACAGCACCTTCACACCGCTGCATTCCCCACATTTCTCAGGTTCCTTATTGCTGTTGGGTGATGCTTTTGTTAAAAGAAATACAGTCTGCGTTAATGGAGGTGGAATGTTATATATTTACAGAAAGGTTATATATATTGTCTCGTATGTGCGTGGATGGTGACCAGAGCTTAGGCTGGTGTGTGCGGTATACGTGCACTCATATCTGCTGTGTGGGCAGAGCTGTGGAGGTGCTGCGTTCCTCTCTGCCTTCCCACGCCCCTCTGTTCTTGAATAGCATGTTGGGTGACGAAAGACAGGTTAGATTTTATTCCTCTCTATGGGCTGTTATATTCCAGTTGCTTAAAATTAGCATGACATGAATTCTTTTAGGTTAAATGATAAAGCTACTTTTTAAATCTATGCTTGTTTTGTTTTGATGACATTTTTAAGCTTTTAATTAGGGCTGCACTATATACGTTTCAGCACCGATATCGCAATGTATGGATCCGCAGTATAGTCACATCGCAGGATCTGTAGTGTCGAGATGATATTATAGTTGAACAGGAGCCACAGTTCAAAAAAAGGCCTCATTTGTGGAGTGGTTGCCACTTTTTAACCATAGATTTAACAAATAGTTGCATGTGTTTTTAAGGCCTGTGACTAAATTTAAGCACAAGGAATTATGTTTGTAACTTTAAGAAAGATGAATTGTATTTATGTGCATATATCAATTATTAAGATACAGTATACAGTGCTATTTTAAATTTGATTATTTCACTTGTGCCTGAATACTGCTAGACTGCCAGAAAAAAACAAACAAGAAATACTGTTTATTTAATTAGTATATTTTGCTCTACTCTGTTTATCAATGCTTGTGATTGGTTTGTTATGTTTTGCGCAGATACACTGCCCTACAAAATAATTCCAGTTAATCTATTTTATGATTTTTCTTTTTAAAATGATAGATGCATTCATTTTAATCTAGTGAAAGTATCCTCAATATCGCAATATGTATTGCAGGAAAAAACA